GGTGTGCAGCATCAGGAATACTCTAGTGGCCATCATTGTTTGGGAGTTTGTACTGGGTTTGTGGGATGTCATCCCCTACTCCAACAGGGAAGATCGGCTGTGGCTCAAGTCCAAGTATTTTGCCGTTTGCTTGGAGCAGAACAGCTTGGTTATGAAGCACTTGCTAAGAAGATCATGGTTTGACTTCCTGACCGTACCTTGGCACTTGAGAAGCAGGGACAGACGTTTTATAGAGCCGTACATTTTGTCAAGGGCGATGGAGATATGAATCTCTTGAATATGTATACATTTTCATCCTCATCACAATCCAACGATTTGCATGAAAGTTTGAGAGTGAAGAACGTTCAAACTTAAAAACGAGCCAATTTTCTGAAGAATCGCAATGGACGCGTTTGCGGCAGGGAAATCTCGGCCCCTGGTCACCAGTCGTCAATCACATTTTAGTTTTTCTGTTGCCAAACAAAAATAAGAAGCTGCTTCAAGTTAGTAAAGTATCTATAGAGCAGCACTCTAACTTTCTATCAGGGTGGTGGACTTTATTCCCTCTTCTTAAGGCTGAAAGAAACAAGAATGCGAATTTATACAAAGAGAAAGATGTTTAAGAAACTACTCAAGCGCATATTGCTTGCCATATTTATTTCTTATTGGATGATGTATATATATTCGATTGATTAATTTGTCCTTTTTTTAAAAGAAAGCAAAGAAGACTCACGTACTTGCGACGAAGGCTTTCGTTCTGGTCCTCGGCTGATTTGGTATCTCGCCGCCTTAAGGCGCCTTTGCAGCTGCTAGAAAGGAAAAAGTAAAGAATGTTAGATCTTCGACAAACTAGAGAATCGATTTGGATTTTACACTGAAACTTGCCTTGTACATCTTCTGCTAGGAACGTCATAAAGATAAAAAAATAGACAAGGAAAAATTATTTCCAGCGCAGTGTTAGGCTCGACCTCTAGGAGATCTTCCTCGTAATATCTTCCACGCCCGATTGACCGCAAAGCATTCTCCAAAGCTTAGAAGATGATCTATCATTCATACTGGCGGTCTCAAAACCAGGCAAATGTTCGACGTAACGATCAAAGCAGCAGTAGGAAGCAAAGTTCTAGCTCGAGAATGGTAAGTCACAATCTTTTCAGCTCTTTTATAGTCATTTCTTTGGCATGCACGATTTCTGCTTTGAGAAGAAATGTGTTGGCAAAGTGCTATCGAGGCGACATGACACGAAAGAGGCAATAGGAAGGGAAGATCCCTGGAGTTGATACTCCTCAGGATCTTCATGAGGTAACGGCTTTCGATGTTGCATGAATCTCTGTTGTTGCTAGACGACTCTAAGATCTGACGTAAAGAAAGCAAAAAAAATGTCCAGGGATAAATCCGAGCAAGAAGCAAAGCATCGCCTTCTTCCATCACATATAGTACGAGCACCCAACCTGCTCTGCATGGTTCATGTCGTCTGCCCGAAAGTCCAATTGGCTGGCCAGCTTTTCCCGAGGCCCTGTAAAAAAGTGTGAAGAGCTTATATTTACGTTCCAGCAGCCTTTCTAAGCTGGGGCAGGCCGGGGGTCCAGAGCTACTCTTCTTCGTTTTGGAGAGTGTTCTCTTACTTTCCTTGCTTCTCCTTTTTTTCTCTCCCTGTTCTTCAGTCGTGAGATTCATGAGTTAAACACGCGACACCTGGGAGATCGGGATCGAGATCGGGATGGAGATCTCGTGCTGACTTTTTGTTTTCGAGGAGCCTAGCAACATGCAATAGACGGATTGTCCCACCACTCAACAGACCATCTCATTTCTTCCCCCACATAGATTCGTTGTGGGAAAAAAATAAGCGCTGCTGTTGGTCATCCCAACTCCATAATCGGGATTACACCAGCCAGGAAGATACTCCACCTTGTGCCACACTCCTTTAGCAATCGCTTTTCTATAATTTCCAATATACAAATCCAGTAATACCATGGGAGAAAATCGAGGCAGGGGTGTACAAACTTCCATGCATGTTTTACACGTGTTTTTTAATCCAGGAGCTCTACTGCTACTTGCTGGACAGACTGGGACGGCGAGTCGAGAAGCTGCACAAGCGCAAACTAAGTTTGCGTCACCGTGCACTGTAGCCCCCAATCTCCGCTCGAGTTTGAAGCATCATGAACAACCTTGGCCGCCAAAGATGTTGGTCAGAATCCTCAAAAGTTCACGAGCACAAAAAGAATCTGGCGAAGACTACTTAGGCTTGTTGGCTCAAAGGTGTGAAGGCAGGGGTGTCACTGGTATTGGTCTAAAGAGGCTGACATTCCCTGTGCCATGCTGACGAGAACTCTGCTTCTATCCGAGCTTTCAAAGTACTCACTGCTCCACGATTGGAACCACAGCACCATATATCGCCCTCTTGCTCGTCATCCAAGAGATTATCAGAGAGCCTGAGCGGCCTCGGCGGTACTAAGCAAGTCATTAAGCTTGAAATTTTTCTCAAATGAGACAAGTGTCAAGTTCGAATCCCGGGACGTGTAGGATCGAATCCCAGGACGTACGAGGTTTCAAGTTCGATACTCTAGACTAGAAATGTTTTAAACTCTTAAAACTTCCAGAATATTCCCTTGGCTTTGAGAGCTCCAGCGATCACGCACCAGCAACAGATGCCAAACAAAACGTACACAAGCATGGCCCATCTTTGCGATGGAATCATCGCGAAAAATACGTGCTCTCGCGTAAATGTCACCTGCAAAACGTTGAGAGCGTTACCAACAGCTCTCCTATAATGCTTATCTGTGAAATCCAAGGCTCCCAAGATTTACGAGAACAAACTTGCGAGGAGAAGCTACGTACCAGATTTTTTTGCGGCTGCTTCCAGTAGAATCCTTGGATGAAAACCACGAGAACATCGGTTGCTGCAAGCGTGTAGATGATCAGCGAGTTCATTCCCATCCATTCCAGCAGCAAAGTTGGATACCGGATGTCATAAACGTCGACCTGGAACAAGCAGCATGGATTAAAATATCTGGAGACGAGCATGAATGGAGACTTACGAGGATGTAAAGTAAGCAAAAAACGGCTCCAGCGGCACCGGCAGTGAAGCACATGTAACTGAAGCTGTAGAGCGGCTTGTTCATCTTAATCCCTGGTACAAAGCGAATGATTTTAATGAGCATAAACTACAAAGCGCTCGTACCAAGCAGATGCAAGACATAGCCAAGAGCCAAAAGTATGACTGCTGGGACGATGAAGTTTATAATCCTTTGTTTGTGCTCCTGAAACATCCATTCCCAGGCATCAGCAAGAATATAAAACCAAAGGCGGATGACAAGTACCTTGCATTGGACGATAAAATGGCCATAGTGCAGACCAATAAAACATGTTACTATCGCTGATACAGAGCTAGTGTGACACAAAAAGATATCAGAACGCAAGACATGATTAAAAATGCTACCTTAGGATTCCTTCTGGATCAAATGGCGCGTGACACCACACAGGAGCATCCGCAGGAAGGGGTCCATAGTCAGGAGAATTTATGCTACAAGACTGCGATAACAAAAAAAGAAAAAGAAAAAAATAAATAAATAGAGATGAGACATGAAAGAGCTAAAACCAAATGTGAATACCTCGGTACGTATAAAAACAGGTTGCTGGTCAAGATGATTAACTCCTAATATTTGTCGATCTACGTAGCCAACAGCGTTGCAGGCAGGATCAAGATTACTCCTGGTACCGCAAGTCACCTAAGAATTGAAAACCCTGCAAGTCGATATCATCAGACAAAAGATTCGCAAACTTACAGTCATTGTTATGTTTCTATTGTTTGGTAGCTCGAATTGCCAGTGAGGAACTTTAAGTCCATACAAAAGTGATAGATAAACTGTCAGTGTCACGACGACGAAGATCCTGAAAGCACAAAAATGGAAAAAAAACGTGAGGAAATGGAGAAGCAGACCCAGCTGTTATACCAGTGAAAGAGGTAGTTTTGCATAATCCCAAAGTATGATCCTTGCACTCTTGGTAACCAGACCTCACACAGCGCAACGATCACGTAAACAAACGCAATTCTCTAGTGGGAAAACGTTTAGTAAGAACTTCAGAATTGTGTCGAGCGTGGCGAAGCAAACCTGGAGAATTCCGCACCATCTAATGAGCGTCAAGTCTACTCCATAGCTCAAATCGTTTTCTCCATGGAAGTAGCCACCTACAACACTCACATAAGCAAAACAATACTCAAAGGACGAGCTAACCTTGTAGGAAAACACCCAAGAAGAACAGCTTTAGCGAGCGAAGTATGGCCTTCCTGGTGGAGTCAAGCTTGCTGGGAATTTTCTGCGAGAGGAAAACGTCATGGTGATCACGGAAAAATCTAAAAAGACACAATGAAGAACACCTTATAGACCAGAGCCAGAGCCACTCCAACGATGAAGAGGAAAAATGGCATGACGAGATCAGCTAGAGTGACTCCATTCCACGGCGAATGATTGATCGCTGGCCACTCGCCCCCTGCATTGTCGACCAAAATCATCATCTGTGGACGATCGTCTCAGAACAACCAAATATTTCTCTATACTGTTCTTCTCTTACCGCAATGCTCAATCCCCGGAATACATCGAGCGATGCCAGCCTCTCCTTCGGACGATCTCCGCCGCCGATTTCACGCTCAGTGGAAGCTTCAGCTAGAGCAGCATCCTCGGAATTCGCATCCCCGGCATCGATCACAAGAAAAGGCTCCTTGAGCGCCTCGGATTCACTAGCGGTAGCTTCCCCGGGCTTGGCATCCAGCCTCTCGCCAGCACCGATCACTCCAAACCTCCCCATTGCCCTGCGCAGCGTCAGTCTACACTAACCTCCATGAATTCAAAGAACCCTAGAAAATGGTGGGGGTAACCATCACGCAATCCGCGCCGTTGACACCTCAATCAAATTTCAGCCGTTGCCTCTGCGGACGGCCACGATCCAGCCAACACGGCATCAAAAACTACTCTTGGCATCTTTGATAAAATAATCTAAAACAATGAGAGCCGTTGGATGTAAACTATCTATAACTTGCTTATTTATTAACAAAGCTTTCTTAATGCACAAACTAAACTATTTCCTCTCCTTTAATCAATCTATAGTTTTCTTCCATTTTCAATCGACCTTCGCGGCGCTGCTGTCGATGGCTTTGATAGCTTTGATCTTGTTGTCTCGATCGCTAGCAGCGTCCTCCTCCTCGATGATGAGACCACCTTGATCGTCGTCATAGCCATCCTCGATTGGAGCATAGTTGAGCTTGCGAGTGGCGTAGCACCAAGCGTCGTAGCAGCCTTCCAGGTTGGGCCAGTTCGAGGAGGAGTGGACGAACTCGTTGAGCCAGAGAGCCAGGACGAGCTCTTGCTGAGCGTCGGGGAGGAGCTTGATGGTCCGCTCCAGCACTCGCTCGGCTTCGTGCTTCTCGGCGGAGGTGAACATGGTGGCGTCGATTCCGTGCGTGGAGCGGCAAAAGAGTGGCAGCCACAGGAGTAGCAGCTTGAGTGTTACTTCCGACGGTGGCTCCACTTCGGAGGCGATCAGTCCCGAGCACAAGAAAGCTGGAAAAAAAGATAGATAAAAATCTATCAGTACCTCAAGCTATGAAGAGAAAAAGCGAAAGGAAGACGTCCAAACTGCTGCTTTGTACGCTTTGATCAGCCATGCAAGGAAGTCCGGCTTATAGGACAGGCAAGAGAAAGCAAAGTAGAAAACAATGCTAGAAAACAATACAACACAAAGCTAGCCAAGAGGAAAGTTTTGACACTCCATCAGGAAAACATAAAGAAGAACACGAAAGAAGAAGATAACTGAGACAGGCAAGCGTGGCGTCTACAACTAAGCAAGAATCTAGACAACTACGACTAGAACTCTACGAAAGGTGAAAGCAAAAAGCTTCGAGACTGACCTGAGAGCTTGACAAGCAGCCTTTGAACTCTGAGATTGGCACAAACCGACTGCCCAGCGAGCCCCGCCGCCGAGCTCCAGTGCAAGATGGCCACTTCCAAACCGTTGTTCTCTTTCAGCCTCTGCGACATCCACAGCAGCTCCTGCGCAAGCTTCTCCGCCATCTCGCTGTCTTCCGCGCTTGGACACGGCGGAGGAGCCATCATCTGCATGCACTGCGACTGCATCACGCTGCCAATCCTGTTCCGCAGAGTCGCGAGCACCGGCACAAACTGGCACGAGAGCGAAGCCGCACCCATGGGCAGTCCTTTGATCATCTTCCACGGCCATCCCCACGCCTCGACCTGCTGCTGCCTGTGCAAGCCCTCGAGAGAACTCGCCAGCATGTAGACTGTTCGCAAGAAGCCGGTCTCGAGAGCCATCCTGTTCACTTCGCGCAGAGACTGGCCACCTTGCTCGACGTTGTCGTACATCATTTTATCTGCGAGTGATCGAGCGAATTCATACTTCCGGGACGATGCTGGTATGTCGTTGACAAGCTCTAGGACCTGGAAAAAAAGAACAATTAGTTCCACCCAAGAGAGAAAAAAGCTATACTAGCTTAGAAGCTCAGAACTAAAAAGAACAATCGACCCCACTTAGCACAGAACTAAAAAGAGGAATCGACAGAAACTACTAAACCACTACAAACACTAAAAAACTCTCTACAAGCTCAAAGTAAGATGCCAAACGCATTAGAAAAGAAATTTCGCTCAAACTAGAACTAGTTTGGAACGACCAAGAACACTAAAAAAATTCTCCAGAGAAACGACCAAAAATTGAGCTCTGATTCTAGTATCAAACAAGGATTTCCCGCTATAGAGCCTAGAGAACCGAGAAACTGACCTGGGAGAGCGCGCGGCCGATGGCACACTTGGCCAGGCCGCCTGCCTGGCCGGACCACACAGTCCGCCGATTCGATCCATCCTCGTCCTCGGCCGAAACAGGAAAAATACTGCCCGTTGTCTTGCTCACGCTATCGATCACGCCAAGAATCCCTGCTGTCGGCAAATGCTGCGGCAAGAAGACAAGCAGCGCCCTCGCGATCCATGCCGCAACCCACAGCACGATCATCGCCATGAACCGGAGCTGTTCCCACAGCCCCCATTTGCTATTGCCGCGCTCCCATTCCACCAGCGCGCCTTTCACCAGCGCGTTCTTCACAGCGACCTGGGAAGCCATCGCCGCCGCCCGGGATTCCGAGATCGAGCAAGAAAAAGACCCGCGATCCCGGCCGAAATATTTCTCGCGGAGATGAGAGCCGCGGCGATCGGAGAGAGAGATTTTCAATCCATGCAGAGAGGATCGAGAAGAGTGGAGGAGTGAGAATCAATCTCGCATGCTCGCCGCGCTCGCCACACGCATCGATGGACCCCAAAAACCCCTGAGCAACGCCGGCCGTTGATTAATACGCGCCACTAGATTCCCGGAAAATATTCCAAGATTCGAGTCATAGGTGAGCCGTTCAATTCCGGCCCACCGCAAAGATTCCATTGTAATTTTTCCTTTACACATTCTCTATACACACTTTCGTCTCGTTTGGAGAGAGCGCAAAATTTTGCAAAACTGTCGCGCGTTGTCAGGTCAGTCTTCCTTGATCTAAGCCAAGAAAAAAAAAGAGAGAAAAAAAAGGAGAGTGAGAAGAATCCACGAAGACGAAGAAGAATGAGATTTTCTAAGCTAGCTCGCGATAGAAAGAAAGAACTTGCCTGGTTGCTCGGAGTGCTGCTACTGCCGAGACTGCTACTGCTGCCACTGCCGGTCGTGATTGCCTTGGATTTGGATTTGGCATTACTGGAGTTTGGATGGAAACGCTGCCAAGTATCGGTCAGCAGGCGCCTTCCAGATTCTACCACCACAATCAATCGAACCAAAAACGCCACTATGTTGTTGTAGATGCTGGAAGAAATTAACACTCGTATCAGAAAGTAGTTGCCCAAACTTTCTACCTCAAGCGATGGCGGTTGAGCGCAGTAAAGAATGCGACCAGACCATTGAGTATGTATCTTACAGCTCGAAACACCTATATAAAAGACGAAGTTGGAAGTGAAAACTCTGGTGGAAAAGGAAATACAAAAGAGTACCTTTGAGAAGAGATCATCCCAGAGGATCCTCCACATCGATGGTGTCCGAGAGGTTTGCACTGCGGAACTCGCTGTCCATAGCTGAAACGATTGGCTTGTGGCTGTCCAGGACTGCTTCAATAAATTCAGGACCTCCTGCGCAAAGGAAGTCCATATCGCTGCAGCATACTGCCGAGCATAATCTCCAAGAACAAGAACCACGCGAAAAGCCGGTAGCACAGGCCCCATAATCGAAGACACTGCAGTAACAAGCACCGATGAGTGTTAGTTGCATAACAAAACAAGCACCATTAAGCTTAAGTCGCTCACCTAAGTTCGTCACTGTTGTCAGCAGCACCCAGAACGGCCAAGTCACAAAACTTAAGGCGTAAGAAACCGCACACAGCGTGGACGCGAAGAAGCTTTCCAAAACGAGTTGGAGAGATTGCGTCCCTTGAACAAAAGTCGCCCAAAACGGAAGGAAGAAACTCCACAAGAGCTGCAGCGGCTCCATGACGGGTTTCATGACAAGCGAGGCGAGCTGACGCACCGACTTGACGATGAGAAACACCCACGCAAAAGCCTTCTCGTAGTTCTGTAGAACCAGCATCGTCCCCAGGTACTTTAGCCGAGAAACCATCTCCCAGGACTCTATCCATTCGAACAGTGGCCCCAGCATATGACTCGCCGTTGCTTTCAGGACGGGGACGTTCTTGTACAGGTCGTAGAAGCCGATCATGACCGTCACCACCGAAATCAAAAAGTAGATGGTCCTGGCGAGAGGTCGCATCCACGGCCGATATATGTTGCAGAACACTGGATACGACTGCATGAAAATGACCCAGGGGAAAAGCCCCGACTCGAGCATCTTCAGCAGACGTTGGTCCGACGTGATTATGTCTCTGAGCTCGAACGGCAGTAGGGGGTCCGAAAATCTGAACACTACCAGCGCGTCCTTGTAAATGTGAGCCACTGGAACCTCTGGCGAATGTTTTGTGGCTTCGTCTCGACTGCTGCGCAGCTTTCGTCGAGAACAGAACACTGGCGACTGAGTGGATTCATCTGACGGGGAGTATGGGCTGCACGGAAGATCTGTTTCGAGAGCTAAGTCCATTATGTCCTTCTCGGCGTCAGTGACCACGCTCTCGGACTCGGGTGGCCAGACCTGTCGTACGGGACTGAAAAATCCGCCATCCGCTGCGTATCTATCAACACCATCTTCGTCTACGCATTGTCTCTTGCACCTATCGGCGTCCACAAAAATATCGGCCTGGCATCTTCCCCGTTTACCACTCTGCTTGCTTCCCAGACCGCAGTGCGACCCGTAAAAATCTAACGCGTGCTCGAGACAGTCGAATTCTCTCTTTCGCATTTGCTTCACTTCCAACGAGAGACAAGTATCTGTCTGTTTGAAAACCTTTAGTACGTGATCAAAAGAAGAAAACGAAGAACAACTTACCTGGAGCTCGTTTGTGTAGTTCATGCCTCGGACGTCAGCCCAAGAAACCTCGAAACCCACGCAACCGTGGAACTGCGGGCAGAGAATTCCCGAGTGAACCAGGCTCTTGTAGTGTCGCCGGATGATCCCATAGATCGAGTCCCAGTTGTAGAGGTGTAAGTGTTTGAGCCCAACGTTGATGGAGTCACCACCACTTCCTCCCATCTCCAGCTTATCACTCCTGCTACTCAAACGCTGGTTTGCGAAAGGTGACACTCTCGACTGTGGAGAGAACCAAAGTAGTTCTTCGTCAGCTCCAACGAGAAAGAGAAGAAAAAGAATCACAGACCTTCGCCACCACGAATGGCCAAAATTCTGTCGGTCTCAAGCCTAGAGATTTGCTCACACTCCATGGTCCATTGTCCACCAAGAACACTAGGCTCGCATTATCGCAGGGCATGAAGAGGAAGAGCTCCGATCGATAAGACTGGATATCCCTGTCACAGCAAACGATGCGACTCCGTAATGCCGGTGGAATTCCCCAAGAACTTACCCGATCTGGAGAGAAACGAGGAGATAGAGATGGTGATGCTCCGGGACGCCGCCGGCGTCACACTGCCGCTCCCGCCGCGCCATGGAGCCGCTAAAACCCTAAGATCCCGCGGCAAGATCATCGATCAGCCTGGAATTCAAGCGTCATTGCCCCGCGGCTGGCAGCTCCGGAGCTCCAGAGCGCCCGGCGATGAGTAGCGCCACTCGAGCGCCTTGTCTCTCGGAGAGCTCATTCTCCTACGTGTGCCTGACAAGAATTCCGCGGGCTCGACGAACCAGATGCGTCCACGTCGGAGTCCAACGTGTACTTGCCAGCTCGGAGCCACGTTTACAATATAATATAAAGGAGGGCCCTCCTTTAAGGTACAAAGGACCGCCTTAAACATCTAACGGTGCCGATTAGATTATACTACAAAAGCCCTAAAAAGAATTGCCACGTCACCATGTGAGAAGTAGGGTTTTTTTCATACGGGAGCGATGCTCAAGTTCCTCAAGGGCGTGGTTGGATCTGCCGCTGGCGGGATCAAGGATCTCCCATACAGCATCGGTGATCCCTACGCCGCGAGCTGGGGATCATGGACGCATTGCCAGGGAACATCCAAGGTGCGCTCCCTGCTGCTAGATTCTTGAATGTAGATCTGGAAATATTTCGCAGGAGGACAATTCCCCCGTGTCGATCTTCTCTTTCACGGCCTCTGGCGCTCAGGATGGTCGGCTAGCGCCAGCGCGCAATGGTGTCAAGCGCCTTAGAACGGTAGCGTGGAGAATTTCGTTCTTTTTGGTTGGAGACAGATTTGGTGCTTCCAGGTGCGGCATCCAAATGTTCTATCCTTCCTCCATAGCACCGAAGTGGAAGGAATGGAAGGGAAGATCACGATTTACGTTGTGACTGAGCCCGTGATGCCTCTAGCGGAGAAAATCAAGGATATGGGCTTGATAGACACTCAAAGGTGAGTAATGGTATCCCTCTTGCGTTTTTCTTTTCACGAAGAGCTTCTTGGTTGTTTACAGGGATGAGTATTTCGCCTGGGGATTGCATCAAGTTTCCAAGGCCGTGAGCTTCCTCAACAATGACTGCAAATTGGTAAGCTCTTTGTACTGTTCTTCCAAGAGTTTTGTTTGAGTTTTGTCTTCCAGGTACATGGAAATGTATGTTTATCTGCCGTTGTGGTTACTCCCGCACTGGATTGGAAGCTTCATGCCTTCGACGTGCTTGCGGAGTTTGATGGTGCGAATCCGGAGGCATCTGGACCCATGCTGGTAAGTAGTGCCTTGTATTTCTCCCTGATGTAGTTTTGATGGGGTACTTCCTCGTGTGAGCAGCAATATGAATGGTTAGTGGGGAGCCAGTACAAGTCTTTAGAATTTGCCAAAGCCGACTGGGCGTTAATTCGCAAATCTCCTCAATATGCGCTGGATGCGTGGGGTCTAGGTGGGCGTTTCGACTTCATTTGTTTTCGAGAAGTGATGCAAGGTTGCTGTAGGATGCTTGATATACGAGCTATTCTCGAACACAAATCTGGCAAAAACGGAGGACTTACGAAACACAGCACCAATTCCCAAGGTTTTGTGGCGGCCGGAGTGATAGTAGAGTATTAACATTACGTTGCAGAATTTGTTGCCCGATTATCAAAGGTTGCTGAGCTCTCAGCCCTCACGGAGACTAAATCCTTCGAAGTTGATAGAAAACAGCGGTAATATTGTCCAGCACTATTTTATATTTACTCGTTTTGATGCGCAGATTTCTTTCAAAATAAACTTGTGGAAACAATCCAGTTCATGGAGGTCCTGAACCTGAAGGATAGTGTTGAAAAAGACTCGTTTTTTAGAAAGCTGTCAACTCTTGTGGAACAGCTTCCTCGGCAAATAGTTTTGAAAAAGGTACGGCATTTCCCAGCTAGTGCTGGACTCATTTTTTTCACGACCAGATTCTTCCAATGGTGGCTTCAGCTCTGGAGTTTGGGTCCGCAGCAGCTCCTGCGTTAACTCCGTTTTTGAAAATGGGGGCCTGGCTGTCACAAGACGAACTAACATCCAAGGTCATAGACCATACGTATGTGCTCGTACTGCATTTTCTTTTATTTCTTTAAAGTTTTGGATTGGCAACACTGCACCGTCGTTCTGCATTTTCTCCTTATTTGTAAAGCGCCTGACTCTCTTTATTCACAGGTTGTGCCGACTATTGTAAAACTTTTTGCGTCGACCGACCGTGCTATTCGAGCAAGTTTATTGCAAAACATTGATCAGTATGGAAATGCTTTTCCATCTCAACTCTTGGATGAGCAAGTTGAGTTCTGTAGTCACTCGAATCTAAAAACTAAAAATGCCTGCACAGGTTTTTCCGCATTTGGCGACTGGTTTTTCGGACACTTCTGCCTTGCTACGAGAGCTAACGTTGAAGTCAATGCTCATTCTTGCACCAAAGGTTTTTTTAAAAAATTTTTTCCATGTCAAAGGCCATTATAACCTTCATTCTGAAAGCAGTTGTCTCAAAGAACCATTACGGGATCTCTGTTGAAACACTTATCGAAATTGCAGGTTCCTTTTTCTCTTCTTTTTTCTTATAGTCTGATTCTTATATGACGCATTTCAGGTTGACGAAGAACCTGCGATACGAACGAACACTACAATTTTACTGGGAAACATTGCCGGCCTTCTTAACGACTCTGTAAGCTCTTCCTTTTGTATTTTCTTCCATTCAAGTTAGATATTTCATGTAGACAAGAAAAAGAGTCTTGATCAACGCGTTCACGGTGAGGGCTCTAAGGGATGGATTTGCTCCTGCAAGGGGTGCTGGTATGCATTTGAGCTCTTTGAGCTCTTTCCTTCTTTAATCAATGTGTTACTGATTTGTTCATTTGATAAGGTATTATGGCCCTCACAGCCACAAGCCAATACTACGATGTGGTAGAGATTGCTACTCGGGTGCTACCCAGCCTTGTTAATTTGACAATCGATGCTGACAGGTTTCAAAAAGTTTTTCATCTTTTATTCTAGTTGCCTCACTATTTGTCAATAATGTCCAGTGACGTGAGGACTAAAGCCTTTGAAGCTACTGAAACATTCTTGCAGCTTGTCCGGAAGCATCACAACAAGGTAAGCATTCTCCACATCGAAAATTGATTAAAAAATCATCACTTACCAGCAGCTCGAGGATGGAGTGAGTCCCAGTGATAACGCTAGTATTCTCCCTGTCGCAACGTCAGGTCTTCTCGGGTACGTCCTTGTAATGCTTATTACTTTTGATAGCTGACTATCTCTTGTCGTCTAAAGCTGGGCTGTGAGCTCTCTCAAGACCAAGGCTCCCGATCTACCGAGCCAAACATCCGGCACTCTTTCAACCGTGTCCTCGGAACCTATCGCCGCCACTGCTGCCGCTGCTCCATCCGTGGAGCATCACCAGCCAGCACGCCAGCCCAGCACTTCCTTGAGCGAAGATTTCTTCGACAGCGTAGCCGACGACCAAAGAGCGGACGACGAACGAGATGGATGGGACGACATGGAAGACTCGGCAGCTGCCACAGCAACTCCATCACTGTCGAGAATACAAGCTGCGCAACAGCGTCCCATTGCATCGGCACCTCTCCCGTCCCATGCGAACACAAACGGCCCCGAGCAAATAACCACTGGTAAGAGAGTCTCCAACTCTTTCCTCCGCTGCGTTTCTCATTTCTCCTCTTTGCTTCGCAGGAGCAACGGTTGCTAGACAAGCAAGCAAAACGCAAGTGAGCGATGACGAGGATCCGTGGGCCGAGATCGCTGCGCCACCTCCATCGACGAAACCACGGGCAGTTGTTTCAACTCAGTCGAGAGTAAGGCAGGGACAGCACGTATCTTTGGGGGCCATGGGCTTGGGCGGTGCTGGACGAGGCCGAGGACGAAGCTCAGCAGCGCCCATGAAGCTTGGCGCTCAACGCGTCACAAAACCTCCTCCATAGTGACAAGAGCGCTGGAGTTTTATTCTTTGTACTATAAGAAAGATAAAGATTTTTTCCAAGTGTATGAACATCGTGAAAAAGAAATAATTTCAGTAAGATGCTTTTTAGATTCGTCCAGATAACTTTAAACTTTTTGGATGAGGGGTTTCTTGACAAGGTCAATACAACAAAAGCATTGGCTAGACCGTCAGCTCATTTGGAGGGCACAGTGTGGAGGCATGGACGGGTAAGCTAAGCTCAAGCGCCATATTTTTGCTAGTCAGTCATGGGTTCTTCCTTGTCGAGGTTTGGGATCGACCCAACCCAAGAAAAGAAATCTCTTCGATCTAAAAGCTTTCTTTTGGTTTTCTGTGTGTGATCAGCCAACACAGCGTTAAGACTGTCTCTGCGCAGGAAGCCCAGGCGCTGATGAAAGATGAGGGCTATGGATACTTGGATGTGAGGTATAATTGTGTTCTAAACTTTGATCCTAGCGGAAGTTTCGTGTTTCTGCTTTTGATCTCTCCAACTTATCAGGACTGTTGAGGAGTTTTCTGCTGGACATGTGGAGAACGCTGTGAACATCCCATACAAGATCAAGAGCGGCTTTGGTATGTCTGGCTTTAAATTTTTACTTACTGAGAAGTGGCTGTTTTTCCAGGCATGGCTTCAAACCCAAAGTTTGTGGAAGAAGTTTCAGCCAAGTTTCCAAAAGACACAAAGCTTGTAATTGTAAGGAAGAACTCCTTTTCTTTTCTTTTTTCCTGGCTGCCTGTGAATCTTAACTTCTGTTTCTCAGGCTTGTCAGGGTGGCATGCGATCTGCAGCAGCTGCTAAAGAACTCAAAGCCTTGGTAAATTAAATTCACTTTCTGTGCTCTCTTCTTACATTCTTTTTCTTGGCAGGAATTTGCCAACCTTGTGGACATGGCTCCTGGATTTGGAGGCTGGGCTCGCTTGGGCTTACCTTCTACAAAGTGACACATGAAAAATAGTTGCTCTCTTAAATAATTCTACATCTCGTAGGAATTAATTTACTTGTCTGTTTCAAACAATAATTCTACATCTCGTAGAACGTTATTATCTGTTTTATATAAAATATGCACTGATGTCCATAGATTTAAAGAGGTGACGGCATGGTGTTCCTAGACACATTGTCTTAGCCAGACATGGTCAGAGTTCCTAAACACATTGTCTTATTCAAATAAAGTTAGAAGGTTGCAAAGGCTTTATTCACTTCGAAATTCTATGCATTTCCAGAGGAGGGAAGTGCATTTTCTTTGGAGATGTGCCCCTTTCAATCCTGATCCATATAAAGGATTTGCCAGGGTGAGAGGATTGAGTGGGAGCATTTAGAAATCAGCACCTCACTCTGTTTGGAGGCCTTTCTTTTGGTTGCTCCAAAATTTAAGGGTTCCATGATCACATGTGTGACACTGCTTAAGCATTCCATGTTAGGAGTTTGCATTTGTAGAGCCCAGAGTCCCAGTCTGATAAGAGACGAGAATATTATACTCTTAGAATAGAATGAATTATTTGTGATTATTTTGCTACTAGAGAGTGCCTAAAACTAATTTATATAGTAGCTGATAAGTGGTTTTTCTTTCTTTGTTATATTTCTTATAAATATGTGAGTGCACATATTTGATTAGCCTAAAACCCTAGCTTATATACAAGAGAATAATAGTCATAATATATATTGAACTTCACATCATAGAAGGCAATTAGGGTTTTTTATATTAATAGGCTTGGATTTAGAAGAACATGCAAAGAAGATTGCATATGTATAATTTTTGGAGGATTGACTTATTGAATGTTGTATTAAACCTTTTAAAATATATGGTTCAACTTGCCAGAACACTTGATACAATCCCTTCTATTGGGCAAGAAACCCTTTACAAAAATTATATACTATAAAATTAAATTAATACCAAATCATCCACTTTGGATGATATTGTACTAACTCTTACTTAATCTTACTTAGCTTTAGCTATTCACTATATGAGCAATAGGGTGTTAACCATCTCTTCATAAATTTCTAAACTCTCTCTTTCAATCCCTCTTTCTAGATTATACTAGACTTAAGGTTTAATTACATTCCTTAGAAACACAAGCAACCAAGTACACCAAGCCTTCAAAGTTTTTAATATTTCTTGATATAACAAGACTTGTTTATGGATACTTTAAATCCTAAACCTTGGGTATATCTCTTAGTTTGAAACCTCAGAGGGGAACATTATGGCATAATAGTTTAATATAGGTATTGTAACTTCCAAATTCCATTTCAAAAGGAAGGCCTAAACCCCTAATGAAGGGATGAAAATTGGCACCACTCCACTTGAGTTGGGAACATTATAATTAGTTTCACTTTTAGGAATTTTGGGAATGGGAGTTACTTTTAAACACTTCCTTAAAAAGCTTATTTAGCACCTTTTATGTCCCACCCAAGGCTACTAACCTTAAGTCCCATCTTTAACATGGTGTAGAAACTCCACTAGAGAGTTCTTTTAAAATTGAATCCTTAACCTCATTTTCCATATTATAATCTCGGTGTATATAAGCAAAGCATAGTTCCAATAGAGATTAAAACTTTATATTGATAGTGTACTTCTGAGGATAAATAATGATATTAGATTGAAAACCAACTTTACATGAATTATAATTATGTAAACCACTTTCATGAGCTTGTGGTCACTCTCAAACTTATACAATGGATGTAACATTTGTGATTCTAGAAAAAAAAAAAAAACATTTAGTCTAATTAGAGGTTTTTTAATTGAATGTGTCAACCCTTTTTCCTTATATTAGCTCCATTCTTTCATCAAAGGTCTCCAAATCTAAACTTTCACTTCGACTACTATCATGTAGCACTTTTTTAATCTACTTTAGAACTTAGGGATTTGTGTCTCACATTCATCTCATTATACTCATGCTTTTAAATTGGTTGTGAATTTCCATTGATGATATCCTTTTAAGTGTGATTTTACACCACTTTAGTTGCTATTTGGTGCTTAATATCAAAACCATAAAATGATATCATGTATTTACCATCTTTTTATATTTATTGAGTATATTTACCATTACTGACTATGGTGGGAATCGAACTCGAAACTTTTTCTTATACAATTTGAATTCAAAACTTGCTATATGTGTGGATAGCATATAATATTAGTATAGACCTATACCCAAATTAATTTTTCTTTTTATCATAAATTCAACTTTTCTTCTCCATTATTTTAGTATTTCATTAGTACTCCCCTTCTCTCAGCAATGAGCTCTTGACACCATACAAATATGCAATGGACTAAGGTGGTTTATTCCACTTACGAGTATACAAACTTTATAAATATATCTATCTATTTTATTAACTAAAGCTAGATTTTATTTATAAAATCCCCCTAAATCTAGATTCATTCTTCTAAATATCAGTAGATTAGTATGTAATGTAACTTCTCCACCTATGATGAAATGACAAGAAAGAGAAAATGCAATTAAAATTTCCTTTAACTCTAGATGAAATTTGTCATTTAGGATCAAATATAAAGCTTATAGCAACAAAGTGCAAAAACTATTTAAAAAATAAGAATTTCAAATGAAAAATAAAAACAAGTAAACCATAGATTGATAGGCTAAAATATTAAAGATCAAGTCATAAAAGGATTTTTTTTTAATGGTATATAATGCTACCACTATCACCATTTGATGCTTAGCCATCATCTCATCATCCTTCACCAATATAATGAAATAATACTAAACTTTATTTAGCTTTATTTTATATGTTAATTCTAGTGTTGGATATTGATGCTCTAGGGCTATTTTAATGTTGGTCTTCTTATGTTTCTTCACTCCTTAGTTGTATATTTGGGAGGTCTCCCAAATATGTCTCTTTGTTCAGTGGCATAAGGTTTTAAAACTTAGATTCCACTCAAATGCTCTTGGCACACATGTCCAAATGTTAAGTTTGGCTTCATAGTTATTTTATAGTAATTCACTATAAAGTATAGGGTAAAAACTATATACATTATATTAATATAAGAGAATCAGTCTCAATAAGTACTATCTAGCGAGATTAGGAAATTAGTAATGTTGTATACACTAAAGTAAAAATGAACAAAAAAGCTAAGAAGGATCTATATATATAATTATAGTATACGTGGTTTTCACCATAAACCCTTAGACACGTTGCTAAGCGCAAGAAAACAAAACTCAAATGTTAAAGCTTTGGGCCATTAAACGAAGGGATAAGACTAAATTCCCAAACATACAACTAAAGAGTGAAAGGATAGGAATATAAAAAGTTATTAAGATAATTTTAAAACATCTAACATCCTAATGTCAAGATTACCATACAAAATAAAGCTAAATAGAATTTGGCACTATTTTAGTATACCAATGGTCTAACGTGAGAAACATATGCTTTGGGCTTTCACCCCAATCCTAGGAGTTAATCTCTAGAATAATCATGAAAACTTACTAAATATGTAATGGCATTAAATTGCAAATATAGATATGGGAACAACACCATTGTAGTCAAAAGAATTTCTATATTCTATAAATATGCTGAATTAGCAAATTTAAACACTTTCCATAAATAGTCAATAGTGTTGGAACAAAACTTACACATAAGACATAGTAGCAAGGGTTTTTGGTGAACCCATTAAACTATCATGTAGCGATATTAAAGGATTATAACTCAATATACAAAGGTTTTTGTCATTAGCTAGTGTAAGACATAATGAGATAAGACACCTTATTGAGTTAAGTATGTTTATAATAAAGCATCTTAGAGCAAAAAATTCTTTAAATATTCCCTCTAAAGTATATTTTAAGTGTGAGAGAGGATATTCTATTTGGGGGTTAAAGTTCATTTAGGGGTTAAGCTCAAACCATTGTACCATTGTCCTTTAAAGATACGTGAGAAACTTAAATGTTGGACATTATCCCAAAAATGATAGGTGGCAATTGCTATAAAGTAATTGAACTAATGGTACATATCATCCCTAAAATTCTTAAAAAAGAATTCTGGCTACATGTGAGGATTGGTAGTAAAAGCAAAATGAATTACACTATGCACCATAAACATTATTAGCAATTAAGTATGATTGTTCAATTACAACCACATAACATCAAACAATTACACCAATTGTTGCTCTAGAGTCAAAGGAGGAGGAAGCTACTACTCTATCATAAAAATGACCAAAAAAAGAAAGCACTAAAGAAGAAATTATAAAGCTACAAAAATGGAATGATTTAAACGATGCAAAAATTAGATTTAAACCAAAAGCACAAATCAAAGCATTTTTTAAGGATAATAAAAAATGCCCCTCTAATATGAGTGGATGGAATATAGAATGAAATGTACAACTTGTATATAGGAGCAAGTGGTTCAGATTAATATTAATTTGATGATGATCAAAATCCCACTATATGGAATGAAATGTGTAGCTTGTATATAGGAGCCAGTGGTCTGGATTAAAATTAATCTGATGATAACCAAAATCCCACTATACTAATTAGTATATGGCATCATAGATCTCACAAAGTGTAAATTAATATTTATCACTATTTAATTTTAAATATTTATATTTTATTAAATTTGTAGAACTAGTGTATTATCTTTGGTAACTAAATTTATTATTTGTACGGAAGGATTTACACATTTATATGTGTGTATGTATGAGGCCTATCAACATCTAAAATATTATTTTGTGATACCTACAAACTTTCAATATTAGAGAAAGAAATATCATAGGATACTTCTACATGTAGGAAGAAGTAATTTTTTTCTATAAAGAAAGTCAGAACCACTTAAGTCACTTAGTTGGAAAATTCCAAATTGAAGAATATGTCAAAACTGAATCATCACTTATTTTGTTATCACAGTTTTTTTTTATTATTATTATTAATTTTTTTTGGAGGGGGGGGAATGGGTCCAATGTAATGGATGCAAATATTTCAGAAAAAAAAAGTCAGATATCATAAGCAAAAGTTGACTTACTGGTGAAGCACGAGAGCAAGAATATGTCAGAATCTTCAATTTAGATAATCCAAGCCCATGCTATATACACGGTCTGGCAGCGCCCTCAAGAAAGGAGCATGAGACCAAAGGATCCAAAACATCAAGATGAAATGTATTGTGGTTTTGGTCTCACTTGTCCTTGCTTCCTTAATATGCATCAACGTTTGGGTTCCTAGAATGATAAAATCATCATCATCTCCTGGTTATTACTTTCCTGATCTCGCACAAGATCATGGTTCTACCTGCTGGGAGGCCAGTTACTACGCTATAAACAACGATCCATTCTACAAGTGGGCAACTGGCTCCTCACTTCCAATGGCACTTAAGCTCAACGAGAAAGGCACTCTTGGCTACCAGCGGGCAAGTGTATGGAGAATCTCTGGAATGAAAGATGCCCGATCGAATGGTACAAGCATGTTCAACTCTCCAGATCCCCACGTTCTAGGAGGAGTCCTTCACCGTGTAAGTAAAGGTTTGGCTTGGGAGATGTCTATCAACTGGGGGATGAGTGTTCGACTCTGCATCACTTTGCCCAGAACGACTGGCGAGCCGTGTCTCTTCACTGCTCCTGTAGTTTGGACAAACAAGCTCCATGCAAATGGTACGGGCTCTTATGCGGTCCTCATGGTGGGCGTTCCGTACAGAAAGGCCTCGTCAGACATGTTTTCGGTTAGCAGCAGCTCCCTGTATTTGCCCTGGGGAGATTACTTGACCAACTTTGCGAGTAACGCTAGAACTCAACTTGGGCTCACGCTTGACAAAGACAAGGGAAACAACGTTAACAAGTATGTGTACCAAGGAAACGTATGTGAAGCATCCAAGCCCGTTTTCATTATTCCGGATGTAATATCGTATTTGGGATTTCCAACCCATCAGTGTGGCTGTGATGGGAACGTTTGCATCATTGACAGCAACTTGACGCTGCTGTCAGATTCGGACCAAGGCATATCTCCTTTGAAGCTGAATTCTACAAGCTGTAGTAGCAGGACTTCCACTCTTTGGAATCTTGAGGGCATTCCAACGTTCTCTACATACAGCCTCAAACGAAACGGATCATTCACTTTTGAAGTGACATTTAGCTCTGGTTCAGCTGTAAATTTTTCAGAGGCGATGAAGGACGTTAACTATGGGATCATAAAGAACGTAAGCTCGTGTGTTCAGGGATGGCTGGAGCAACACCCGGTTGAAAAACCTCTTACAACCATCTCCCAGGACTGTTCCCTTCAAGGCATCGCAAACGTTGATTATTCTCACAGCGGTCAAATGATATTTCGATTCCCACTTGCTGCATCGGGGATGAGAGCGACGTTTGATTATAAAGTTCCCATTGGCAACACACAAGAGGACGTCTACTGTGGCATGGATCAAGGACAAGTAGCACTGAGCCAGAACTTGTGCATGCTAAACATGACGAAGCTCAAGTCCTCGGGAGAAATGTCAATGCTAGCACAGCAACTGGATGTCTTTGCAAACGTTGCGGACATAAAGAGGTTCGCCCTCAAGGAATGGGAGAAGGGGTCTTCAAAGAGAGCTGAAGTTCTCTTTGAGATCTTGGTGGCGATCTTCACGATCGGGGCCACAATCTGGGGAATGTTTGCCAAGTCATCGGAGAACTTTGAGAAGTCGCTCATCAGATTTGTTTGGACAGAGTTTCAACTTTCAGTGCTTAGAACATTTGCACGGGCCTTAATCCTCATTGGAGTGATGATATGGAACACATTCAGCATATTTCAGATGATCAAAGAGGTGGAACTAAAGCGTTGTCTTGCCACCTCTGGAACAATCATCCAGCCGTTGAACGGTATCAGCTTTTTGGTCACCACCACCTCCACTATTGAAGTGATGCCCAGGTGGTCAATCTTATTTTGGGTGTGCTCACTGGAATTTGTTATCTTTGTGGCAGCAGTAGTTCTAATCTTTCATAGAATGCGCAAATCCGAAGAGCTTAAGACAGCAGAGATCAACTTGTAATGAATAAATATTTGGTGTGTGTTTGTGGATTATCAGAATATATATTTAAGGAGAAACTAAATTATTGTAATGTATAGAGTTCTGGATGCTACGAGTTCTTGCTACTCAACTACGAAGTCTTCTTCTTCTTTTTGTGATTCTTCAACTCAGCCTGGCAAATCCTTTGTCTCGATTCTAAATCGATCGCGATTGAAAGAGGTCATCCAGCATCTCCAGGTCGATCACCAGCATCTAGATGACAACGACTACGCTTCTCTCCTCCGGAAATGCATCGAATTCAAAGCTCTCACCGAGGGCCGCGACCTCCACACCCTCATCTCCAAGGGAGAGTACGGACAGAGCTCCTACCTTTGCAATCTCCTCACCCAGCTGTACGGGAAATGCGGCCACCTCCATGCCGCGAGGGGAATATTCGACTCCCTGGGTGAGAGGAGGAACGTTTATTCCTGGAATATCATGATCACGGCATATGCCCAGAACGGGCGTCTGGAGGAGGCCAAGGAGATCTTTGACCGGTCGCCACAAAGGACCATGGTGACGTATAACGCAATGGTCACGGCATATTCCCAGAACGGGCATCTCCAGCGTGCCAAGGCCTTGTTTGATGGGATGGAGCAGCGAGACATTGTGTCGTGGAACGCCATGCTCGCAGCATATGCCCAGAGCGGGCACGACACCCAGACCGTCGATCTCTTTAAGTCCATGGACATCGACGGCGTCACGCCCAACCACGTGTCGCTCATCTCTGCGCTGGACGCGTGCGGCAGGGTCGGGGAGCTGCGGCTCGCAGACGCACTGTACGACGCGGCGTTGACTCTTGGGTGTACGGGCGACTACAAGGTGTGTACGGCACTGGTCAATGCGTACGGCCGGTGTGGCAGCCCGGGCGATGCCAAGCGGATATTCGACTCCCTGGAGATGGCGAGCAAGAGCGACGAGATCGCAGCCTGGAATGCGTTGCTCTGCGCGTATCTGGTGGGCGAGAACCTTAGCGATGCCAAATCGCTATTCGATTTCATGCCCGCGCGCGATCACATCTCCTGGAACATCATGATGGTCGCGTTTGGGCGAAGTGGATTCCATCGCCAAGCCCTGGATTGCTTCCGGCTAATGGATCTCAATGGAATCGCCCCGGACAGCGCCACTTTCGCGAATCTGCTGGATTCGTGCCCCACACTGGAAGACGGCAAGACCGTACACGCTTGCGCGGAGGAGAGCGGCTACGCGGCCCATCTCATGGTGGCCACCTCGGTGGTGGACATGTACGGCAAGTGCGGTGACGTGGCCGCTGCCAGGCGGGCCTTTGACGCCATGCTGGAGCGTGACGTGGTGGCGTGGAACGCCATGGTGGCGGCATACTCGCACAACGGTCACGGCCACGAGGCCCTGGAGATATTCCGTACGATGGATCTCGAGGGGGTGAATCCCAGCGAGAGCACGTTTGTGTCGGCCGTCGATGCATGTACGGCGGTGGCGGATCGGGCGGTGGGGAGGCTCTTGCACGGAGTTATCGTGGACAGCGGGTACAAACTCCACGGCAAAGTGCTCAACGCACTGGTGACTATGTACGGCAAGTGTGGAGATCTTGTACGGGCGAGGGCGATGTTTGATGGCTTGTCCACGGTAGATCCTATCCTGTGGAATGCGATGATCGGAGCATGTGCCCAGTTTGGGCATATGCCCGATGCTTTGGAGCTCTTGAGGGAAATGCTCCAGTGTGGAGCTTCTCCGACCACTGTGACTTTCACGAGCTCTCTGGTGGGTTGTAGCCGGAGTGGGTTCTTCGAGGAGTCGAGGGAATTGTTTCTCGCAATGCAAGACTGTGGATTGGATCCCAATGGCGAGCACTTCCATTGCATGGTTGATCTCTTGTGTCGCGCCGGGAAGCTCCGGGAGGCTCGGGATTTGATCGTTAGCATGCCATTTGAGGCGGATTTCCCTGCGTGGTCGGCTCTTGTCAGTGCTTGTAGCGTTCATGGAGATTCCAAGCTTGGGAGAGAGGTGGCGAATGAAGTGATCTCTTTGGTTCCGGAGGATTCGGGGCTTTATGTCTGTCTCTCCAAGGTCTTTTCCTCCGCGGGCATGCAAGATGAGGTGGCGAGACTAGAGCAAAAGAGAAAAGATCTTTTGCTCAAATCAAAGTAAGGCTTTAGTAGTGTTATAGAATGCTGTTCTAAAGAGTGCTCGAGAGAGAGAGCAGCCATTAGACTTTGCAACTATGATTCGCCATTGTGCCGACTTTGGCAAAGGGTCCCTGGATACACAGCCAGATTGAAAGGGAGAACGTTTTCCTGGCAAATCTGCTCGGCCAGATGTATGGAAAATGCTGTGGCACTAGTGATGCCAAGCGAGCGTTCGACACCATCGACGCCAAGAACGTTTTCTCGTGGTCTTCAATGGTGATGCATATGGGCATCTGGAAGGTGCCAAACTTATCTTTGACAACATCCCGGTTCGAGATATTGCTGCATGGAATACAGTGCTTGGTTCATATGCACAACACGCCAACGTTGACAATGCAAGATGCTAACCCGGATCCAAACTTCTTTGTCCTAATTACGGCTTATGCCGAAAGTGGGTATATGTCCAGCGTAAAGCAATGTTTGATTCCATGTCACCTCGAAATGCAATCGCAATGCTTGCTGGATATGCAAGACTAGTGCGAAGAAGTAAGGCTTTCGTCAAAGACGGAGTTTCTTTGTATGTGTATAATCCGATGAAGAGCCAGTTGGTCTCTCGATGATTCTTCCGAAAGATGCCCCAGCATGACACTATAACAGTGACGGCAATTTGGCATTTGTCGCGAGGGACAACCTTGTTTAAGCCAGAAAGGAATGGCGATGACTTTGAGAGCTCAGCGGAGTTAGTCCGCTAGCCAAGCACTCGACCAAGAACAGGAACTCGAACCGGCTGGAATGGATCAAGTCTAGAGTCGAAGAGACATCCTCCTGGAAAACCAGCATCAGTGTGAGTGTAAGCATTGTCCGAAAGAACTTACGCTGCCATGCAAAGCTTTGATCTTCATATGCGGCAAGCTGACTCCTGGAACGCTCAAAGGAACATAATCCGTTGCCTCTCTGGGGAGGCCTCCTCGACGTTATCCCCCCGGAACAAGCGCTACTTTAGTGTATCTGGAAAGAAGCAGCGATCCTAGTGATGGAAAAAAAAAATCAAAGAAAAACAAAGTTGGTCAAGGAGTTTGAGACAAGGTACCTAGCATATCATGGATCGTCCCATAGCCGCTGGAATTTAAAATTTCTCAACGCGATCTGGAGATAGAAAATAAAGAGTGAGAAACAATAAAAAAAAAAATTCACTCAAATGGTCTTCTTTCCATCTCATACGTTTCGAGAAGCGTGGAGCGTCAAGTACCGCAGACACCTTCCTTGCGAGATTATGTACGTAGTGCATTTTTCCCTCCCAAGAACCCTAAAAATCTGATTTAAACCCGATTTTGGCGCCAAAAAGAAAAGGGTAGAGGTCTAGGTTGCATGCCGGTGCGCAGCGGCGGGGCGATTCCAAGCAAGTCTCTCGCCAGTGGAATCAACAGGTGCGTGATGTAGCGGATGTGAGGCGATTCGACAATCTTTTAGCCGAGGATCGAGCAGTCGGTCAGGTCAGGTCGGCGCAGGCGAATTTCATGACTGTCGTGGTGAACGAGCTGGAGCGCTCGATGAGCTTGCAAGAAGAGGGCTTTAGAGCAGGGATTAAGCTTCTTTGCGTGGTGAGAGCACTTCTCCAAAATACCAGTGGCTAATGTTGATTTGCTACTGGTGCTGGATAGGCCGCGCTTGGATCCTGTGATAATGAATAGGTTCTTAGTCGAAGGCGAGTCTACTGGAATACCTCTAGCAGTGGTGCTCAGTAAGGCGGATCTTGTTACTCTGGAGGTACCCGTTTTATTTCTTTTGCAAAGCTGATAGAAGGATCATCTTTAGTTTTCAGATGAAAGATAGCTGGGAGAAGCAGCTGATGGAGTCGGGATATAAACTATACATATGCAGTGTAGAGACTGGTATGGGGCCTCTTCATGAAGATAAAACATCAGTTGTTTTTGGCCCAAGTGGAGTCCGAAAATCGAGCTTGATCAACTTTCTACGTGGAAAATCTTGCCTTCCACCAGATGACATCCAGGTCTGTATACCTTCGAAGTTCGTCTGAAACTAACTTGTCGCGTGTACAGGCACTAGACGAAGTCGACAATGAAGTCATTCGCGTGTAGTAACGGACTGGATCCGGTCGACACACGATGCGGCACATTTCTCTTGCATCTGCCATTTAGAGGGGCTATGCTCGCTGACACTCCAGGTTTCAGCTATCCCAGCTTGTCAATGGTGACAAGGAACTCATTAGCATTGCTTTTCCCCCAGGTATTTTTTGTCAGCTTCTTCTTATCGCGATTGTGAGCATAGCTGTGGTCTCAGCTTTTACTTCTCAGCTAGACAGGTAAAGGTGACTTACACCTTTTCTTTTCGTCTTTTCTATTGTCTAGGATCAAGGCCTGGATACAATAGCCGAAGGCTCAAGATATCAACGAAGGAAGAGCAATGCCTTATTTCAAGTGCCGATAAATCCGTACAGGAAATGGACAGGCTTATCGACGAGATTGACAGCAAGTCATGTCCGCGGGTGGCCTACGGGAGTTTAGCCTCACACGAGCAGCAAAGCAGCAGCAACATCAACCTGACAACGCCGCTGAACCCCCCGTGTCTGGACAAGGTCATGTCTCTCCACTCTCGTCAGGGTGGTCGCAGAGCATTCGGTTGGCTTGGTCGTGCTGATGATCTGGAAGCACAGGCTTGACAGGCACTGCAAGGCTTGCCTCAAAAGTATACATACAAGGAGCTGGCGAGTGGGAACCTCGCTTCGAGTAAATGCTTCAGAGGCGTATTGGATGTTAGAAACTTGGACAGCCTTTTTTTGGGAGAAGCTTGCGAATTCTCCAGAGCTACCTGTAAAACAAAAACTCAGCACGAGGTCTCGATCTCCCCGGTAAGCTGTAGGAGCTGCTGCGTCGCGTGCTTAACTGGGAGAAAAAAAAAGGAGAAGAAAGGAAAGAAACAGAACACTCTCCATAAAAACTGTGCAAGCCAATGAACGAGAGAGGAAGAGTAGCTCTGGACCTAGGGCCTGCTCCAGCTTAAAAAGCCGCTGGAACGTAAAGAGAAGCTCTTCGCCTTCACTGCAATGACGACCGACCTTATGTGTTTGTTTACTCAGTCAATTGGACTTTCGGGCAGACGAAGACACATGAACCATGAGAGAAAGGGCAGTGTGGTATGTGAGTGTCTTTTCAGGCTCTTTGGGTGCTCGTACTATGGACACGGACGAAACCAAGAAGGCGATGCTTTGCTTCTTACTCGGATTTAGCCCTGGACATTTTGTTTGCTTTCTTTACTTCCTGGTGGGTCGCATCTTGAGTCTGGAAGAGTGGTCGTCTAGCAACAACAGAGATTCATGGCCATGGACAAGGGAGCCAACATCGAAAGCCGTTACCTCGTGAAGAGCCTAAGTATCAACTCCAGGGAAATACAGGCAAAACACATGTGGTGATAAGAACATTCCACAGTCTCAGGTGCTTGATCTCAGGCAACTCTTGAAGTTGAAATGCTTCCAGGCAATAAATTGCGAGTTTTCTTTTCCCACGATAATTACAGCTTTGCAGCTAGATTTAGGAACTGGAGCACAGTGGATTCAGTTAAACGTATCCATTGCCAAAGCATAAATGAGATGTTAGACCTTTTCTCGTAGTAGAAACACGCCCAGCGTAACGAGACGGGAAGGAAACCTGTTGAGTACAAGCACAAGGAAAAAAGCAAACCGCTGATTGTCATACCTCTTCGTCATGGTGATTGTTCTGCACATTTAAGACGTTCGCAGGAAGCAGCAAATAATTCGGCCTCATCTGGGTGTCAGCACACGAGCAGTTTATCGTCGTAGTAAATGGGGCTCCTCATTCTCCGCACACATGTCAATGTTCTTGCTTAGACCGTAGGAAGAGAACATCGAAGATGTAGTTGTTCTCGCTCTTCATTTACGTGGTCCTGCGTTGCATGTCTGTGGTTCGATCCACCAACGATGACGGCCTCCTCTTCCAGCAAGCTCTTGACAGAAGCATGAGAAAGCCAAGTCAACCAGTAGTTTCACTTTTTTTGGCTTCCTTGATCCTAGAGATTGTGGTTTTGGTCACCATGTGGCATGGTGACAAGGAACAGCTTCGCCTCCTCCAAAGACTTTGCATGCCATCTGAAATGATCTGGCAGTGTATCCAGCGACCTTTTGCCAAGTCCTTCGATTTGGCACACTGACGAATCAATGGGGTGGCTGGCTGCTCTCTCGAGATCATCATCTCCGCTTACGCCCAGGCCGGGCACCTCCAAACCGCCGAGGACGTCTTCTCGGACGGCAATAGGTTTACACTACTACTACATTCTTGCCGAGGAAAAGACCTTCGATAAGAGAGCTCGTCAAACTTCCGCAATAAAGAGGATTATCTACAAAACAAAATTATGCAAATTGCAAATACCTAGAGTCCCATCAGCTTTCACGTGATTATGATATTTCCAAAGTCGTCACGCTGCGCTCCTATCCCTTCGAACATAATTCTCACCTCCTCATCTCTCCATGAGCAGGGATGATCGTGTTCCATGCGACTGTGTTGGGCATGAGCTTGAAGATGCCCTTTGCCTCAGAGAATATTGCCTGATCGAGGTAAACCCATCATCCTGTTGAAGACGTCCTGTGCATCGCTGATTTCTCCAGCCTTTATGTCAAACAATGGCGTGCAAGAAGCCACACTCGGGTTTTTCATCCTGTGCACCATCGCCTTGGCTGTCTCAAGATCCCACTCTCGGCGATCATCCCCAGAGGTCCACAGCCGGATCCTTTGCCAGCCTGAACACCTCCTTGGCCTTGTCCATAAGCACCCTCTGGGTATACGTCGATGCGTGTGGAATGCAATGACTGGAGCATATGCCCAGATTGGGCATATGCTCGATGCTCTAGTACAAGTGATGCCAAGCGAGCCAAGAACGTTTTATTGTGTGGAGAGAATTTTGTTTTAAAAGTAAACATTTAATATTTATGAAAAGATAATAACTACAATTCAAGAACAAAGCCAAGAGGGAAAATAATAGTACTATGTCCGTCTCAATCTCAACATCAACAAGTAATCACAAAAACCACTGAGTGGCAAAAATCAAAACTAAAAGCATATACTGTTGCATGGATTGGTTCATATGCATGTTGCTGCAAGATTCTCTTTGATCCTAACCCTTGTTATGGACAACAGCATATGTTTGATTCCATGTTGCCAGACTCGGCATGACACTATATCGCCAACTGCAAGGGCCAGTCTTCTTTGGTATGCCCTATCGCTGTCACCAAGGCATTCCAAGTCGCTATACTCCACTTAGAACAAGCCTCGTCCGACTTCAAGCCGCTCACATTGACCATCGAGCACAGTCCTTGTCAAAGTAGCGTTTTGTGTCTAGAAGACGATTCTCAGCATTATCTTGCTGAGGGCTCTGAACTTCCCTACTCCACAGCTCCCAAGAGAGAGCATCGTCGCCCAGATCCACGCCGATGGCTGTTCTTCGCGTGTCGCCTCGCGCCCATTCTGCCCTGCTCATGAAAAGCCTTGCATTGTGCTTGTTTGCATGCTCGTAAGTCCCATTCTCTTGTTTTGTTTCTCTTTAATGTTCTCCAGGCCGAATCAATGAAGCCAAGCAAAGTGTAACCACAAGTTGACTCGGCTTTCTAATGCTTCTGGTGGGCCAGATCTTTAGCGCAACGTTCGAGTTTTCAGACGTCCATAAAACACAAAACCAATGAAGAGTCTAGCAAATGAAATAAAAGGAAGAGATAGAGATTCTTTCATGACTGCAAGCTGTATGTCGTCTATGGATGCTATGCTTTTTGGTGGAGAATGTGGCTGCTTCTATTCCAATCGCTTGGGCAGTCCACCTAGTGTCGTAAATTATGAATATGGTTCTCTCACATTTTACACGCTTTGAAATGTTTATGGTATTTGGACTATTGCTTTGAGTTTCTATGGTACACCACATCTTAGATATATTATACTTAATTTCAGAAATATAAGACTATCAATAAGGGGGTGTCTTCAAAACCGAATGTGCATTTTGCTTTATAAAAAGAAAGTATGACTAAAGTGAATATGAAAAGAAAGAAGAATAAAGCTTGAAGTCGATACTTAGCATTTGGATCTTTGCTTTTCGGGCTAGTGTTTCTTTTGCAGTGTACCCCTTTCATTTTAACCTTGAATTTCGCTTGGAAGCACAGTTCTCCAGTTATTTCATGCGAATGTACACACCAAAAGTAACTGAAAAATACAAATTAGATTGCAATGTTGAGGTTGTAGTCGCTAGGAACGAGATCCCATTGAGCTGCTGGAGAAGTGTTTCTGAAGTGGCAAGGCGAGGCTCACAAGCCTTTATGAACACGTCACACCCACGAGCACAAACACTCCCATCTTAAACAATGGAAGTCCCACAACTTTGGTGACCTTTTACGATCAAACTTCTTGCAACTCCCTCATGACAATCCTAATAGTAATCCTTGATCTCTCTGCCGAAGTGCTCTCCCTTCTTTACAAACCTATGCGTCTGCTCTTAAAGCTTGTGCCGCCCAAGGTCAGGTGGCAAGGTGGCGCAGAGGATTTTCTAATGATGCCTGGAGGAATTTGCTATCGGGCATCCGCAGTTGTGACCCAAGAGGATCATGGAATGACAGCGTAGGTAGTATATAAGCTAGTGTTTGAGAATTCGTGAGGCAGGCTGGTGCTCCTTAGGAGTTCGAATTCCCCAAGCTGGGATGTCTTTGAGAGTAGATACGAGAGAGTGATCATCTTGAGGCTTTCTGTCATCTGTATAAGTGGCTCGAGTTGGTTGTTGAGATTAGAGAGAATTGACCTGAATTTCATGGAGATTGTCGTGCAAATTTGAGAGCGTTCGCAGGAAGCAGCAAATAGTTCGGCCTCAGCCTGTGCACAGCGTACAAGAAGTCTGAAGCAGTTCATCTTGCAATAACACCACCAAAGCAGCGGTTGCTCGTTCTCCGGAAACAAGTCAATGTTCTTAGACCGCAGGAAGAGATCCTGGTATAACATCGAAGTTGTAGTTGTTCTCGCTCTTCATTTCCATGGTCTTTCCCTTCCGCAATAGAGTCTTGTGCATCCTGTGTTGCATGGCTGTGGTTCGATCCACCAACGTTGACGCCTCCACTTCCAGCAAGCTCATGACAGAAGCATTAGCCAAGTCAACTAGTGGTTTAACTTTGTTTGACTTCCTTGATCTGAGAGATTGTGTTTTTGGTCACCAAGTTCCATGCGGGCATAGTGACAAGGAAAAGCTTCGCTTCCTCCAAAGACTTGGCATGCCCAATCGCTGCCAACAAGGCATTCCAAGTCACTATGCTCCGCTCGGGCATCTCCACAAACAAGTCTTGTGCAATCTCAAGCCGCTCGGATTGAGCATATGAAACGACGAGCACAGTCCACGGCACAAGATTCCATGCTGGCATCTTGTCAAAGTAGCTCTTTGCCTTGTCTAGAAGACGATTCTCGGCATATCCCTGGAGCAATGCCGTCCATGAGAAGACGTTCCTCTCCGGCATATTCTCGAACAAGGCACACGCCTCTCTGTCATTGCCCCTCGCGGCAAATGCCGAAACCATTGCAGTAGCTGATATAGTGTCATGCTGGGGCATCTTTCGAAACAATCCTCGAGATGCTAAGATACCTCCGAGTCTTGCATATCCAGCAAGCATTGATGTCCATGCAATTGCATTGCGAGGTGACATAGAATCAAACATATGCTTCGCGCTACACATATACCCGCTTTGAGCATATGCTGTAAGCATTGTCGTCCACGAAACAATGTTGGGATTTGGAATCGAATCAAAAAGAATCTTTGCCTCGTCTACATGCCCGTGTTGTGCGTACGCTGCAAGCATTGTATTCCATGCAACAGTATCCCGATCGGGCATCTCGTCAAAGATAAGCTTAGCATCTTGCAGATACCCGTTTTGGGTATATGCAGTCATCATAACAGCCCACGAGAAAACGTTCTTAGCGTCGATGGCGTCAAACACTCGCTTGGCATCATTTGGGCTACCGCATTTGCCATACATCTGGACGAGCAAATTGGCCAGGAAGACGTTCTCTCTGTATTCCTTTTGATCTGAAATAATCTGGCTGTGTATCCAGCGACCCTTTGCCAAGTCCTTGGATTTGGCACAGTGGCGAATCACGGTTGCGAAGTCTTCAATGGCGTGGCTGGCTGTTCTCTTGAGAGCACTCATTAGAACGGCATTCTACACTACTAGTTTTATAAAAGACTTATTCTCTTTTGCCCTCTTGGATAAATAAATTGATCATAGCTCACGATACTGAAGTAATGTGTTATTATTGCTGCGTTGAAAGATGCAATCATCCCTGGATATAATTCGTAAACCACACACATTATGTGGGGCTGGTCTTTTTGTGCTCGTAGTCTCAAGCCGCTGGATGCCGCAAAATTCGTAGGAGTGGATCTAGTCAGTTTCTATTTCTCTTGAGCTCTGCTGTTGAGGGTCATGAGATTTCTGGCGATTCGCGCTGAACACCTGCGCTATGATAGTAAATTATTGTTATTCGATGCGCCTCAGGCACCAGGAGGAGACAAAACTTTACTCCACCATTGTGCTCCATGCCATGGTCGGGAATCTTCAAAAATACTTGGTTGTGGGTTGAGAAATTCTCTTGAATCCACATTCATGCGACAAGAGGAAACTTATAAAGCACTTGGAAACTTCTAATATATGGTTAGAAGAAAACATTGAGAAGCATAGCATAGAAGCTATGGCAATGCCACGGCCTACTTGTACGAGGAAGAAAAAAGGCGCGGCGAATGCAATCAAGCACGAGAGCTGGCTGTAAAGACGGATGCTTGGAATCGTTGCTTTCAAATACAATAGATAAAGACTGCTTCATGAAAGCAAGCTGTATGCCTTAGAAAAGCAAAAGCTATACACATTCCAGATACCAAAAGCATGTAACACATGAGAGATACTCTACATAGCATGAAATTGAGTGGGTTGACACTTTTTAGTTACTTTCATTTTAATCAGTTTCTCTTTTTCTTGAGCTCTATCTATATCCAAATTTTGTGGCATTCAACAAAGAATACACAGTAATTATATAAACATGCATGATTTAAGCTGGTACAGTTACCTCTTCTTTTCTTTCCACGTAGCGCATGCGAACGTACACACCGAAAGTTACTGTGGCAAACACAAAGATTGCAAACGAGCACGCTGCAAAGAAGATAATCCAAGATGGAGTGACTTGAACTGTTGAAGTTGTAGTCACCAATAACGAGATCCCAGGAAAGAGGATCTCGTCGAGCTGCTGGAGTAGTGTCTTTGAGGTGGCAAGCCGGACTTCCCACAGCTTTCAATCTGACAAACACGTTAAACATGTTCCACACGATCACACCCAAGAGTAGAAAACCCCGAATTCCCGTCTTAAACAGTGGAAGTCCTATTGTCGCTTGCACAACTCTGGTGAAATTGCCTGTGCGCTTCAAGATCAGCGCCTCTGGTGAAATTGCCTGTGCGCTTCAAGATCAGCGCCTCCACCTTTTGCAAATCCCTGTTGAACATCCCCCAGATTGTCACAAGGATGGTCACCACTGCTGTGACAATCCTAACACTTATGTCTGATCTCTGCGACCAAGTGCTCTCCCATTCCTTCTTCATGAACCTATGTACGTCCGTTAGAGACTCCCTCAAGTGGTTCTGCAGATTTTGCATCTTTAGATCCTGCAAGCTTACTGTGCACAGCTTGTCCGCCAGCTTTGACTGGCCTTCGTCCATGCCACACAAGTAGTTGTCGTTAACATGGTTATCGAAGGTGTCCATGAGATCTTCCAGCGATGCCCGAATTTCTAATGGGATCTCAATGACAGGGCCCACGGCAACAATTGGACTTTTCCAGCACTCCTGCAGATCTGAGTCTAGTGTGCCATCGCTCGGATCCTTCTTCTGGATCGTGTCCTCGGTGCAAGAAACGAAATCTTTGAGTATTTGGTTGGGACCACGGATTGCCTCCTCGAAGTTTGTGCTGAAATTCACGTCGAGTTGTATCGATGTGTTCCGTCTCGGGCTGTAAGAGTACAACCTGGTTCTTTTCTCTTCCAAAGGATAGTCGTAATCGCAAAACGAATTGCCCTGGCCACACCCGGAGGCATTTAGTTTCAGAGGAAGAATCCCATCCTCATTCGAAGCTGTGCCAGTGATGTTCCGACCCACAAGGCAAAGGATACCATCGCAAGCGCACTGTAAGCTTGGAAAACCAATGTAAGAAACCACGTCCGGGGTGATGAGGATCGGGGAGGCCATGTTGCAAACCTGGCCTTCGTAGACGTAGTTCTTGATTCCTTTGCCAAAGCTTTTGAGATTCAATCCAGCTAGCGTTGCTCATAAAGTTTGTCAAATACACCGCACTATTGTCCAGATACAAATCGCTGCTCTCCACGCCATATGTATTCTCTGAAGCCATCTTATACGGAACGCCAACCAAGAGCACTGCATATGATCCAGGAGCGGTCTGGACGATCGGCGTTGTGGAAAGACACGAATCCAAACAAATTTTTACACTCATCCCCCAGTAGACTGTCGTTTTCCACACCAGAGTCCTGCTTCTCTTGACAAACTCTCCTCCAAGAATGTGGGGATCTGGCGAGCTATACAAGGAGCTCTCATTTGTAGAGGTGGTATTGCCCTTAACACGCCAGATGCTTGCCCTCTGGTATGCAAGCGTTCCCCTCTGGGAGATGTTAAGATCATCCGGGAGTGAGGAATCAGAGATCCACTGGTAGAATGGATCGGAGCTTGTGGCAAAGACGGTGGCTTCCCAGCACGTAGAGCACTTGTCCTCCTTGACGATATCCAGGTAGTAATCCCCTGGAGGTGGTTTGGTCATCTCTGGAACGGCGAAGATGGCAGTGACCACAAGTGTCGCCACGAAAGTTGCAAAAGCGATGCCAATCACAAGCGCTCCAGTGAGTTTCTCCCTTGGATTCAACATCAGTTTAGGTGCGCTTTGTGACTCCGCCATAGCTCCAAACTTCTCTGCTTAAACAAATTATGCGGTGCATACTTGTTGGATTTGGAATAGAAGTTTATATAGAAAGGTTACTAACTTTTTTGTAAGTGGTGAATAAAGTGATTATTCCCTTTGCATAGTGGCAGTACGTGAAAATTCTTTGTATGAACGTTGATTGATTGATTGAATTGATTGGCAACAACAACGAACGACGATGGAAAATTATGCCTATTCTACATGATCTTTCCCCTCCTGTAATAACAATAAGTATTGCTGTGATCTTATATAAAACTTGGTACAAATACTGTAAACATCTTATTAATGAACATAAAGGTACTACTATAAAACATATAATGGATCAATTCTGGTCGTCGTCGCGGACGTGCACGAATGTGCTCCCTCTGTTCCCTCCCTATGAGGTATTTCTCACCATATTTATTTAAAGCTAGCTAAAAAATATAAATTCTAGCGTTCCATCCCGAGCACATTTCCCTCCCGCCGAGAGATCCAAGGTCCCAGTCCGTGGATTCCTACGGTCGCAGCCTCCAGTTTAGCGTTGCGTCTGGAAACCTCTTGAGCTGGAGAGTCCCTGCCGAGTGTGTTCCCTACGTCCGGAGCTACACCACCGGGCCACAGTACCAAGCCGACGTCCAAGCTGCAACGAGCTTGGCACTCCAGCAAGCCCAGACTTTCTGCGCCAGGCCGGCATTGATGCGTGGCTGTTTGATGTCGATGGTACTCTGCTCTCAACCACGCCTTACTTTGCTACAAAGCAGTTCGGGTAACGTCTGGATCTATCTCTTCCTTCCCTGTTGAAAGTTAAAATTTTGCAGAGCTGGGAGCTACCACGACACTGACTTTAACTTGTGGGCCGCCAGAGGCGTCGGCCCGGCGATCGCTCCAGTGAGGACGCTTCTCAGAACGAACTGGACAGTGTTCCTCGTGTCCACACGCCCATAGTCACTGCGGCGTGCGACTGTGAGGAACTTACTCCGGGCGGGCTACAGAGGCTGGAAGAGGCTCTTCATGAGGTTTGTGAGCTTCAGATAACGATGGCTAGCCTGTCATGACGCCAAATGCTACTCTTGCTAGACGACCACTCTTCCAGACTCAAGACGAGAACCTTGTTGGAAAAAAGAAAGCAAACAAACTGTCCAGGGGTTTGGCCTGGGTATGACACCAAGGGAGCAACGAGCAACAAGAAAGACACAGGTGGTGACAAGAGCATTCCACAGTCTCAGGTGCCTGATCTCTCGGGTAACAAATAAAACTCAAGCAATACAATGCAAGAAACATACCTCAATAATAATGCAGATTTGGATTGTTAGAAAAAGAGTAATAATTGAAACTAGTACCTCTTTCTTTCACCACGATCACCACGATGGACACAGATATAGTTTTATCCGTTTACATGTTGGCTTTCACGTTGAATTTCGTTGCAATCTTCTGACCAAGCATACGATCCGCCTGCACACTTTCATGGTTGAGTTTGATCACATGTTGTATTTTCTTTATTGTCTAACCTGAGACCAGTAAGAGAGCCAGATGCTACGGATTTCGTGGGTGACGCGCGGGTCGGACAGAGCATCCACAACTCTCGCAATGAAACGCTCTTGCCTGGAAATGGAGCAGAGATTCAGTTAAAACATGACTAGCTGAGAGAGAGGTTTGAGATCTTGCCTGTCAGCAGGCCAGGAGCGGAACATTGCTCCTGGCTGAGCAAAGTTATTTTCCTTTTCAATCATCACCTACAAGAGAAAAACATTATTGCCAAAGCATAAAATGAGAAGCTGAAACTTAGACTAGCCAAACCTTTTATCGTCGACCACCGAGAGGGTGAGAAGGAATAGGCACTCGCTCAGCGTGACGGCAAGGATCAAAATGCGAAGGGGTTAGTTCACCTGCAAACACAGAATATAGAACGTAAAAGCAAGAGCGTTGCTTGTCATACCTCTTCGTCCCTGTGGGTGAAGTTCATGAATCCCTCGTGATGGTTGTTGTGATGAGCACACTTGGGAGCGTTCGCAGGAAGCAGCAAATAGTTCGACCTCAGCCTGTGCACAGCGTACAAGAAGTCTGTAGCAGTTTATCATTGCAATAACACCACCAAAGCAGTGGTTGCTCGTTCTCCAGAAACAACTCAATGTTCTTAGACCACGGGAAGAGATCCTGGTATAACATCGAAGTTGTAGTTGTTCTCGCTCTTCATTTCCATGGTCTTTCCCTTCTGCAATAGAGTCTTGTGCATCCTGCGTTGCATAGCTGTGGTTCGATGCACCAACGATGACGCCTCCTCTTCCAGCAAGCTTGACAGAAGCATTAGCCAAGTCAACTAGTGGTATCACTTTATTTGACTTCCTTGATCTGAGAGATTGTGTTTTTGGTCACCAAGTTCCATGCGGGCATAGTGACAAGGAAAAGCTTCGCCTCCTCCAAAGACTTGGCATGCCCAATCGCTGCCAACAAGGCATTCCAAGTCACTATGCTCCACTCGGGCATCTCAACAAACAAGTCTTGTGCAATCTCAAGCCGCTCGCATTGAGCATATGAAACGACGAGCACAGTCCACGACACAAGATTCCATGCTGGCATATTGTCAAAGTAGCTCTTTGCCTTGTCTAGAAGACCATTCTCGGCATATCCCTGGAGCAATGCCGTCCAATAGAAGACATTCCTCTCCGGCATATTCTCGAACACGCCTCTCTGTCATTGCCCCCTCGCGGCAAATGCCGAAACCATTGCAGTAGCTGCATGGACGTCAATGCTTGCTGGATACGCAAGACTCGGAGGTGTCTTAGCCTCTTGAGGATTCTTTCGAAAGATGCCCCAGCATGACACTCTATCACAATTGCATTGCGAGGTGACATAGAATAAAACCCACGAAACAATGTTGGGATTTGGAATCGAATCAAACAGAATCTTTGCCTCCTCTACATGGCCGTGTTGTGCGTACGCTCCAAGCATTGTATTCCACGCAACGGTATCCCGATCGGGCATCTCGTCAAACATAAGCTTAGCATCTTGCGGATACCCGTTTTGGGCATATGCAGTCATCATAACTGCCCACGAGAAAACGTTCTTGGTGTCGATGGCGTCAAACACTCGCTTGGCATCATTTGGGCTACCGCTACAGCGAGCGCCAGTTCCAGAACCTGCTCCTGGCTGCCTACGCCCAGCACCTGACGGTGAGCATATATGTGGCGCCCTCAGAGCGTGCTAAGATGGAATAAACTGGCGTCGCTCCACTCGCTGCTCCACTCGCCCGCTCATTAGAACGGCATTCTACACTACTAGTTTTATAAAAGACTTATTCTCTTTTGCCCTCTTGGATACAAAAAAATTGATCATAGGTCACGATACTGAAGTAAGTTTTACAAATGCATTTCAAAATTTATTTCATAAAACTATTTGATTAATGTGCTATTGCTGCGTTGAAAGACGCAATCATCCCTTGACCCGCAAGAGCAGAGCTCAAGAGAAATAGAAAGTAGATCCACTCCTACGAATTTTGCGGCGAACAGCTTGAAACTATGAGCACAAAAAGACCAGCCCCTGAGATTTTTTGGCGATTCGCACTACAACTGAACACCTGCACTGTATTGCTATGATAGTAAATTATTGTTATTCGGATGGGGCTGATATAAGAGCACCAGTGTGCCATGTCATGGTCGGGAATCTTCAAAAACACCCGGTGGTGCTGCAATCAAGCACGAGAGCTGGCTGTATGCAACCTCTATTCCACGGATGCTTGGAATCGTTGCTTTCAAGTACAATAGATAAAGACTGCTTCATGAAAGCAAACTGTATGCCTTAGACAAGCAAAAGCTATACACATTCCAGATACCAAAAGCAGATACTCTACATAGCACGGCCACGGCCTACCTCTACGAGGAAGAAAAAGGCACGGCAGAGCTGGCTGTAAGTAACTTATATTCCAAAGACGGATGCTTGGAATCATTGCTTTCAAATACAATAGATAAAGGCTGCATCATGGAAGCAAGCTGTATGCCTTAGAAAAGCAAAAGCTATACAAATTCCAGATACCAAAAACATGTGACACATGAGAGATAGCATGAAATTGAGTGGATTGCCACTTTTTAGTTACTTTCACTTTAATCAGTTTCTCTTTTTCTTGAGCTCTATCTATATCCAATTTTTGTGGCACTCATCAAACAATACATATTAATTGTATAAACTTGCATGATTTAAGCTGGTGCAATTACTTCTTCTTTTCTTTCCACGTAGCGCATGCGAACGTACACACCGAAAGTTACTGTGGCAAACACAAAGATTGCAAACGAGCACGCTGCAAAGAAGATAATCCAAGATGGAGTGACTTGAACTGTTGAAGTTGTAGTCACCAAGAACGAGATCCCGTCGAGCTGCTGGAGTAGTGTTTTTGAGGTGGCAAGCCGGGGCTCACTTCCCACAGCATTCAAGCTGACAAACACGTTAAACATGTTCCACACGATCACACCCAAGAGCAGAAAACCCCGAATTCCCGTCTTAAACAGTGGAAGTCCTATTGTCGCTTCCACAACCCTGGTGAATTTGCCTGCGCGCTTCAAGATCAACGCCTCCACCTCTTGCAAATCCCTGTTGAACATCCCCCAGATGGTCACAAGGATGGTCACCACTGCTGTGACAATCCCGACAGTTATGTCTGATCTCTGCGACGAAGTGCTCTCCCATTCCTTCTTCACGAACCTATGCACGTCCGCCACCTTTAGAGACTCCCTCAAGCGCTTCTCCAGCTTTTGCATCTCGTTTGAGCTCTTTAGATCCTGCAAGCTTACCGTGCACAGCTTGTCCGCCAGTTTTGACTGGCCTTCGTCCATGCCACACAAGAAGTTGTCGTCCTTGTCACTTGGAACCTTGTAATTGAAGGTGTCCATGAGACCTTCCAGCGAGACCCGAGATCGGTATCTTCTCACAGCGACTCTTCTGTTAAAGGCAGGGCTCACGGCAACAATTGGACTTTTCAAGCACTTCTGCAGATCTGACACTAGTGTGTCATCGCTCGGAGCCTTCTTCTGGATCGTGTCCTCAGTGCAAGAAACAAAGTATTTGAGTATCTGGTTGGGACCAAAGATTACCACATCGAATGTTGTGCTGAAATTCACCTGGAGTAGTATCGATGTCTCCCGACTCGGGCTGTAAGAGTAGAAGATGGCTCTATTCTCTTCCAAAGGATACCTATCGTAATCCCAAAACGAATTGCCCTGGCCACACCCGGAGGCATTTAGTTTCAGAGGAAAAATATCATCCTCATTCGAAGCTGTGCCAGTGATGTTCAGACCCACAAGGCAAAGGTTACCATCGCAAGCGCACTGGAAGCTTGGAAAACCCATGTAAGAAACCACGTCCGGGGTGACGAGGATCGGGGAGGCCCTGTTGCAAACCTGGCCTTCGTAGACGTAGTTCTTGATTCCTTTGCCAGAGCTTTTGAGCTTCAATCCAGCACCGGTTCTAGCGTTGCTCACAAAGTTTGTCAAATACACCGCACTATTGTCCAGATACAAAGCGCTGCTCTCCACGGCATATGGTTCCTGTGAAGCCTTCCGATACGGAACGCCAACCAAGAGCGCTGCATATGATCCAGGAGCGGTCTGGACGATCGGGGTTGTGTAAAGACACGAATCATCCTTGGATCCTGGCAAGGTGAAACAAGTTCTTACACTCATCCCCCAGTAGACTGTCATCTTCCACACCAGAGTCCTGCTTCTCTTGACAAGCTCTCCTCCAAGAATGCGGGGATCTGGCGAGCTATACAAAGAGCTCTCATTTGTAGAGGTGATATTGCCCGAAACACGCCAGATGCTGGCCCTCTGGTATGCAAGCGTTCCCCTCTGGGAGACGTCAAGAGCATCCGGGAGTGAGGAATCAGAGACCCACTGATAGAATGGATCAGAGCTTGTGGCAAAGACGGTGGCTTCCCAGCAAGTAGAGCACATGTCCTCCTTGACGATATCCGGGTAGTAATCCCCTGGAGGTGGCTTGCTCATCTCTGGAACCGCGAATATGGCAGTGACCACAAGTGTCGCCACGAAAGTTGCAAATGCGATGCCAATCACAAGCGCTCCAGTGAGTTTCTCCCTTGGATTCAACATCAGTTTAGCTGCGCCTTGTGACTCTGCCATAGCTCCAATCTTCTCTGCTCAAACAGATTATGCGGTGGATATTCGTTGCATTGAAATAAAAGTTCAAATGGAAAGTTTACTTTAATATATCTTGTAAGTAAATGGCGAATAAAGCGATTATTCCCTTTGCATAATGATAGTACCTGAAAATTCTTTTGAACATGGCAGCGCAGAATGTAGTAGTCCCTTTATATTGATTAATACAAAGCTTATATCATGCTTTTTAATAACAACGCCTATTAAGTCGTCCATCTCGAGAAACTTTCATAGTCACAATGGTTTCTCTTCTTCCTATTGCTCGTCTTCTTCTTGTTCTTCTTCTTTCATCTCTTGATCTTACCTTCTCAATCGAGCTCGCTGGTGTGCTAAATCCCGAGGACATTTCCCTCCCGCCGAGAGATCCAAGGTCCCAGTCTGTGGATTCCTATTGTCGCAGCTTCCAGTTTAGCGTTGCGTCTGGAAACCTCTTGAGCTGGAGAGTCCCTGCCGAGTGTGTTCCATACGTCCGGAGCTACACCACCGGGCCACAGTACCAAGCCGACGTCCAAGCTGCAACGAGCTTGGCACTCCAGCAAGCCCAGACTTTCTGCGCCAGGCCCGGCATTGATGCGTGGCTGTTTGATGTCGATGGTACTCTCCTCTCAACCACGCCTTACTTTGCTACAAAGCAGTTCGGGTAACGTCTGGATCTATCTCTTCCTCCCCCTGTTGAAAGTTAATACTTTGCAGAGCTGGGAGCTACAACGACACTGACTTTAACTTGTGGGCCGCCAGAGGCGTCGCCCCGGCGATCGTTCCAGTGAGGACCTTCTACCGGACGCTTCTCAGGACAAACTGGACAGTGTTCCTCGTGTCCACTCGCCCAGAGTCACTGCGGCGTGCGACTGTGAGGAACTTACTCCGGGCGGGCTACAGAGGCTGGAAGAGGCTCTTCATGAGGTTTGTGAGCTTTAGATAACGTTGGCTAGCCTGTCATGACACCAGATGCTACTCTTGCTAGACGACCACTCTTCCAGACCCAAGACGAGAACCTTGTTGAAATAAAGAAAGCAAACAAACTGTCCAGGGGCTCGGCCGAGAAATCGATGAAAGATGCTGGGTATGACACCAAGGGAGTAACGAGCAACAAGCAAGACACAGGTGGTGACAAGAGCATTCCACAGTCTCAGGTGCCTGATCTCTCGGGTAACAAATAAAACTCAAGCAATACAATGCAAGAAACATACCTCAATAATAATGCAGATTTGGATTGTTAGAACAAGAGTAATAATTGAAACTAGTACCTCTTTATTTCACCACGATCACCACGATGGACACAGATATAGTTTTATCCGTTTACATGTTGGCTTTCACGTTGAATTTCGTTGCAATCTTCTGACCAAGCGTACGATCCGCCTGCACACTTTCATGGTTGAGTTTGATCACATGCTGTATTTTCTTTATTGTCTAACCTGAGACCAATAAGAGAGCCAGATGCTACGGATTTCCTGGGTGACGCGCGGGTCGGACAGAGCATCCACAACTCTCGCAATGAAACGCTCTTGCCTGGAAGTGCAGCAGAGATTCAGTTAAAACATGATTAGCTGAGAGAGAGGTTTGAGATCTTGCCTATCAGCAGGCCCGGAGCGGAACCTTGCTCCTGGCTGAGCAAAGTTATTTTCCTTTTCAATCATTGCCAAAGCATAAAATGAGAGGCTGGAAGTTAGACTAGCCAAACCTTTTCTCGTCGACCACCGAGAGGGTGAGAAGGAATATGCACTCGCTCAGCGTGACGGCAAGGATCAAAACGCGAAGGGAAATAGTTCACCTGCAAACACAGAATATAGAACGTAAAAGCAAGAGCGTTGCTTGTCATACCTCTTCGTCCCTGTGGGTGAAGTTCATGAATCCCTCGTGAGATGAGCACACTTGGGAGCATTCGCAGGAAGCAGCAAATAGTTCGGCCTCAGCCTGTGCACAGCGTACAAGAAGTCTGTAGCAGTTTATCATTGCAATAACACCACCAAAGCAGCGGTTGCTCGTTCTCCGGAAACAACTCAATGTTCTCAGACCGCGGGAAGAGATCCTGGTATAACATCGAAGTTGTAGTTGTTGTCGCTCTTCATTTCCATGGTCTTTCCCTTCTGCAATAGAGTGTTGTGAATCCTGCGTTGCATAGCTGTGGTTCGATCCACCAACGATGACGCCTCCTCTTCCAGCAAGCTTGACAGAAGCATTAGCCAAGTCAAGTAGTGGTTTCACTTTGTTTGACTTCCTTGATCTGAGAGATCGTGTTTTTAGTCAGTTCCATGCGGGCATAGTGACAAGGAAAAGCTTCGCCTCCTCCAAAGACTTGGCATGCCCAATCGCTGCCAACAAGGCATTCCAAGTCACTATGCTCCGCTCGGGCATCTCAACAAACAAGTCTTGTGCAATCTCAAGCCGCTCGCATTGAGCATATGAAACGACGAGCACAGTCCACGACACAAGATTCCATGCTGGCATCTTGTCAAAGTAGCTCTTTGCCTTGTCTAGAAGACGATTCTCGGCATATCCCTGGAGCAATGCCGTCCATGAGAAGACGTTCCTCTCCGGCATATTCTTGAACAAGGCACACGCTTCTCTTGCATTGCCCCTCGCGGCAAATGCCGAAATCATTGCAGTAGCTGATATAATGTCATGCTGGGGCATCTTTCGAAAGAATCCTCGAGAGGTTAAGATACCTCCGAGTCTTGCATATCCAGCAAGCATTGATGTCCATGCAATTGCATTTCGAGGTGACATAGAATCAAACATATGCTTCGCGCTACACATATACCCGCTTTGGGCATATGCTGTAAGCATTGTTGTCCACGACACAAAGTTGGGATTTGGAATCGAATCAAAAAGAATCTTTGCCTCGTCTACATTGCCATGCTGTGCGTACGCTCCAAGCATTGTATTCCATGCAACAGTATCACGATCGGGCATCTCATGAAAGATAAGCTTAGCATCTTGCGGATACCCGTTTTGGGTATATGCAGTCATCATAACTGCCCACGAGAAAACGTTCTTGGCGTCGATGATGTCAAACACTCGCTTGGCATCATTTGGGCTGCCGCATTTGCCATACATCTGGACGAGCAAATTGGCAGGAAGACGTTCTATCTGTAGTCCTTTTTATCTGAAATGATCTGGCTGTGTATCCAGCGACCCTTTGCCAAGTCCTTGGATTTGGCACAGTGACGAATCACGGTTGCGAAGTCTTCAATGGCGTGGTTGGCTGCTCTCTTGAGAGCACTCATTAGAACGGCATTCTACACTACTAGTTTTATAAAAGATCCATTCTCTTTTGCCCACTTGGATAAAAAAAATTGATCATAGGTCACGATACTAACTATTGCTGCGTTGAAAGACGCAATCATCCCTGGATATAATTCTTAAACCACACACATTATGTGGGGCTGTTTGTGGTCATAGTCTGAAGCTGTTCGCCGCAAAATTCGTAGGAGTGGATCTACTTTCTATTTCTCTTGAGCTCTGCTCTGGAGGGTGATGAGATTGTTATTTGGCTCGGACTGATATCAGAGGTCGTTAAAACTCCTCAGGCACCAGGAGGAGACAAAACTTCACTCCACCAGTGTGCTCCATGGTCGGGAATCTTCAAAAACACCCGGTGGTGGGCTGAGAAATTCTCTTAAATCCACATTCATGCAACAAGAGTTATCATATACGGTTAGAAGAGAACATTGAGCAGCATAGCATAGAAGCTATGGCAATGTACGAGGAAGGAAAAAGGCGCGGCGAATGCAATCAAGCACGAGAGCTGGCTGCAAAGACGGATGCTTGGAACTGTTGCTTTCAAATACAATAAAGACTGCTTAGCTGGAATCGTTGCTTTCAAATACAATACATAATGACTGCTTAGCTGTATGCCTTAGAAAAGCAATAGCTATACACATTCCAGATACCAAAAGCATGTAACACATGAGAAGATACTCTACATAGCATGAGATTGAGTGGGTTGCCACTTTTTAGTTACTTTCATTTTAATCAGTTTCTCTTTTTCCTGAGCTCTATCTATATCCAATTTTTGTGGCACTCATCAAACAATACATATTAATTGTATAAACTTGCATGATTTAAGCTGGTACAGTTACCTCTTCTTTTCTTTCCAAAGAAAAGAAGAGCTCTATCTATATCCAAATTTTGTGGCATCCAAGAATACATATTAATTAGCATGATTTAAGCTGGTATAGTTACCTTTTCTTTTCTTTCCACGTAGCGCATACGAACGTACACACCGAAAGTTACTATGGCAAACACAAAGATTGCAAACGAGCACGCTGCAAATAAGATAATCCAAGATGGAGTGACTTGAACTGTTGAAGTTGTAGTCACCAAGAACGAGACCCCGTCGAGCTGCTGGAGTAGTGTTTTTGAGGTGGCAAGCCGGGGCTCACTTCCCACAGCATTCAAGCTGACAAACACGTTAAACATGTTCCACACGATCACACCCAAGAGCAGAAAACCCCGAATTCCCGTCTTAAACAGTGGAAGTCCTATTGTCGCTTCCACAACCCTGGTAAATTTGCCTGCGCGCTTCAAGATCAACGCCTCCACCTCTTGCAAATCCCTGTTGAACATCCCCCAGATGGTCACAAGGATGGTCACCACTGCTGTGACAATCCCAACAGTTATGTCTGATCTCTGCGACGAAGTGCTCTCCCATTCCTTCTTCACGAACCTAAGCACGTCCGCCACCTTTTGAGACTCCCTCAAGCGCTTCTCCAGCTTTTGCATCTCGTTTGAGCTCTTTAGATCCTGCAAACTTACCGTGCACAGCTTGTCCACCAGCTTCGACTGGCCTTCGTCCATGCCACACAAGAAGTTGTCGTCCTTGTCGCTTGGAACCTTGTTATTGAAGGTGTCCATGAGAACTTCCAGCGATGCCCGAGATTGGTGTCTTCCCACAGCGGATGTTCTGCCAAAGGGAGGGCTCACGGCAACAATTGGATCTCTCAAGCACTCCTTCAGATCTGCCACCAGTGTGGTATCGTTCGGAGCCTTCTTCTGGATCGTGTGCTCGGTGCAAGAAACGAAATCTTTGAGTCGCTGGATCGTGTCCTCGGCACCAAAGATTACCCAATTGAATCTTATGCTGAAATTTACCTGGAGTAGTATCGATGTGTTCCATGTCGGGCTGTAAGAGTAGAAGATGGTTCTATTCTCTTCCAAAGGATAGATATCGTAATCCCAAAACGAATTGCCCTGGCCACACCCGGAGGCATTTAGTTTCAGAGGAAAAATATCATCCTCATTCGAAGCTGTGCCAGTGAAGTCCAGACCCACAAGGCAAAGGTTACCATCGCAAGCGCACTGGAAGCTTGGAAAACCCATGTAAGAAACCACGTCCGGGGTGACGAGGATCGGGGAGGCCCTATTGCAAACCTGGCCTTCGTAGACGTAGTTCTTGATTCCTTTGCCAGAGCTTTTGAGCTTCAATCCTGCACCGGTTCTAGCGTTGCTCACAAAGTTTGTCAAATACACCGCACTATTGTCCAGATACAAAGCGCTGCTCTCCACGGCATATGGTTCCTGTGAAGCCTTCCGATACGGAACGCCAACCAAGAGCGCCGCATATGATCCAGGAGCGGTCTGGACGATCGGGGTTGTGTAAAGACACGAATCATCCTTGGATCCTGGCAAGGTGAAACAAGTTCTTACACTCATCCCCCAGTAGACTGTCATCTTCCACACCAGAGTCCTGCTTATCTTGACAAACTCTCCTCCAAGAATGTGGGGATCTGGCGAGCTATACAAAGAGCTCTCATTTGTAGAGGTGATATTGCCCGAAACACGCCAGATGCTGGCCCTCTGGTATGCAAGCGTTCCCCTCTGGGAGACGTCAAGAGCATCCGGGAGTGAGGAATCAGAGACCCACTGGTAGAATGGATCGGAGCTTGTGGCAAAGACGGTGGCTTCCCAGCAAGTAGAGCACATGTCCTCCTTGACGATATCTGGGTAGTAATCCCCTGGAGGTGGCTTGCTCATCTCTGGAACCGCGAAGATGGCAGTGACCACAAGTGTCGCCACGAAAGTTGCAAATGCGATGCCAATCACAAGCGCTCCAGTGAGTTTCTCCCTTGGATTCAACATCAGTTTAGCTGCGCCTTGTGACTCTGCCATAGCTCCAATCTTCTCTGCTCAAACAGATTATGCGGTGGATTGGAATGAAAGCTTATATAGTCACTTTTAAGTTTAATACTGTAAGTAAATGGAGAATAAAGTGATTATTCCCTTCGCATAATGGGAGTATGGGTGTATAGCTTTATGTTTATTAATAAGATGCTTATATCATGCTTTTCATCAACAACGCCTATTAAGTCGTCCATCTCGAGAGAACTTTCGTAGTCACAATGGTTTCTTTTCTTGCTCTTGCTCGATTTCTCCTTGTTCTTCTTCTTTCATCGTTTGATCTTGCCTTCTCAATCGAGCTCGCTGGTGTGCTAAATCCCGAGGACATTTCCCTCCCACCGAGAGATCCAAGGTCCCAGTCCGTGGATTCCTACTGTCGCACCTTCCAGTTTAGCGTTGCATCTGGAAACCTCTTGAGCTGGAGGGTCCCTGCCGAGTGTGTTCCATACGTCCGGAGGTACACCACCGGGCCACAGTACCAAGCCGACGTCCAAGCTGCAACGAGCTTGGCACTACAGCAAGCCCAGACTTTCTGCGCCAGGCCCGGCATTGATGCGTGGCTGTTTGATGTCGATGGTACTCTCCTCTCAACCACGCCCTACTTTGCTACAAAGCAGTTCGGGTAACGTCTGGATCTATCTCTTCCTCCCCCTGTTGAAAGTTAATACTTTGCAGAGCTGGAAGCTACAACGACACTGACTTTAACTTGTGGGCCGCCAGAGGCGTCGCCCCGGCGATCGTTCCAGTGAGGACCTTCTACCGGACGCTTCTCAGGACGAACTGGACAGTGTTCCTCGTGTCCACACGCCCAGAGTCACTGCGGCGTGTGACTGTGAGGAACTTACTCCGGGCGGGCTACAGAGGCTGGAAGAGGCTCTTCATGAGGTTTGTGAGCTTTAGATAACGTTGGCTAGCCTGTCATGACACCAGATGCTACTCTTGCTAGACGACCACTCTTCCAGACTCAAGACGAGAACCTTGTTGAAATAAAGAAAGCGAACAAACTGTCCAGGGGCTCGGCCGAGCAATCGATGAAAGATGCTGGGTATGACACCAAGGGAGCAACGAGCAACAAGCAAGACACAGGTGGTGACAAGAGCATTCCACAGTCTCTGGTGCCTGATCTCTCGGGTAACAAATAAAACTCAAGCAATACAATGCAAGAAACATACCTCAATAATAATGCAGATTTCGATTGATTAATAATTGAAACTAGTACCTCTTTATTTCACCACGATCACCACGATGGACACAGATATTTTATCCGTTTACATGTTGGCTTTCACGTTGAGTTTTGTTGCAATCTTCTGACCAAGCATACGATCCGCCTGCACACGTTTCATGGTTGAGTTTGATCACATGCTGTCTTTTCTTTCTTGTCTAACCTGAGACCAGTAAGAGAGCCAGATGCTACGGATTTCGTGGGTGACGCGCGGGTCGGACAGAGCATCCACAACTCTCGCAATGAAACGCTCTTGCCTGGAAGAGGAGCAGAGATTCAGTTAAAACATGACTAGCTGAGAGAGAGGTTTGAGATCTTGCCTGTCAGCAGGCCAGGAGCGGAACCTTGCTCCTGGCTGAGCAAAGTTATTTTCCTTTTCAATCATCACCTACAAGAGAAAAACATTATTGCCAAAGCATAAAATGAGAAGATGAAAGTTAGACTAGCCAAACCTTTTCTCGTCGACCACCGAGAGGGTGAGAAGGAATAGGCACTCGCTCAGCGTGACGGCAAGGATCAAAACGCGAAGGGAAATAGTTCACCTGCAAACACAGGATATAGAACGTATAAGCAAAAGCTTGTCATACCTCTTCGTCCCTGTGGGTGAAGTTCATGAATCCCTCGTGATGGTTGTTGTGATGAGCACACTTGGGAGCGTTCGCAGGAAGCAGCAAGTAATTCGGCCCCAGCCTGTGCCTCTGAGTGTCAGCGTACG